ACCCACGACCTCTCGCTTCCCGCGCAACTGTGCTAACCATTACACTACAAGTCACTCGACTTCTCCTGATCTAGAGAGCATTAAGTTCCCTCCTCTCTGGACGACGTCGATGACGGACGACGTCCACACGTGTTGATTCCACACTTAACCCTTTCTAGAGTAAACGAGACCAAGCACCTTGTGGTGTAATGGTTAGCACTGTTGCATGGGAAGCGAAAGGTCCCAGGTTCGAGTCCCGGTGGCGCGAAGATTTTTGATTTTTTCTGCTTTCAACTACAAAGGATTGGAAGATATAAAAAGTAGATAGGTTAGATAAAAATAGATAAGATTACGGTAGAAAGGGAGTTAGATTTAGAAAACCTAGAGAAGCGGTAAATCTACGATTTCGATATTTTGTTGAGCTGTTCGAATCTCTTTCGAATCTGGTTGAGCTGTTCGAAATTTTTAATCTGCTCGAGTTCCAACTTTGTGAACCCTCACAGAATCAGACAAAAAGCAGGATTGGATAAAAATAGAGACAAGATTACGGTAGTCCAGAAAAGGGACACGTTTTTTGACAGACTAGGGAAAAGGGATTCTAGTACAGTAAAAGATCATTCGTTTATTGTTAGCCTATTTTCAAAGGCTTTTTTTGATTCCTTATTCCCCACTGACCTGACCTCTGAGGCACTTATCAAGCAAGAAACCGCCAAAAACAAATTTGCATTCCATGACCCAGAAGTGAGAAAAGATCCTTGCATAAGATTGATGTCTTGTTTTCATTTCTTCCTGTTTTTTGAACATTCAACTTCTTTCTATTGCTTGATGACCCAGAAAATCGAAAGCAGATGTTAAAACTTGTAATTAGTGAGATGCGGGTTTTGTCATTTGCATAACTGGATGTAGGCTGAGCATTCGACTACTTGGATGGATGTAGGCTGAGCATAACTGGATGTAGGCTGAGCATTCGACTACTTGGATGGATGTAGGCTGAGCATAACTGGATGTAGGCTGAGCATTCGGCTACTTGGATGGATGTAGGCTGAGCATAACTGGATGTAGGCTGAGCATTCGACTACTTGGATGGATGTAGGCTGAGCATAACTGGATGTAGGCTGAGCATTCGGCTACTTGGATGGATGTAGGCTGAGCATAACGTGGATGTAGGCTGAGCATTCGGCTACTTGGATGGATGTAGGCTGAGCATAACTGGATATAGGATGAGCATAACTGGATATAGGATGAGCATAACTGGATATAGGATGAGCATAACTGAATATAGGATGAGCATAACTGGATATAGGATGAACATAACTGGATGTAGGATGAACATAACTGGATGTAGGCTGAGCATTCGACAGGCTGAGCATTTAGAACTCAACTACTTTTGATCTTTTAATCTTTTAATCTAATCTTTCTCTTTTAATCTAAGCCGTTTTCCAAATTTCTAAGATCGTTCTTAAAAAGATTATATTGATGAATTTGAGTTTCTTCGAAGACTTGGAACATTTTCATTCGGGCTGATTCGGGGCCGATTCGGGCCTTGCGGCAATTCGTGATCTATAAACTGTTCATCTCTTTTCCATGAGATTCTCTGAATCATTTGATTGTTTAGTATATCAATAGTTTAGTTTAAAATGTATAAAAGCGTTTTTAAAAAGATTATATTGATGAATTGGAGGCTTTTCGAAGACTTGGAACCTTTTTATTCTGGGCGGATTTGGGGCCGATTTGAGGCTGATTCGGGCCAATTCGGACCAATTTGGACCGATTCGAGGCCAATCCGAACGAGTTCGGACCAATTCGGGTCGATTCTGGTCGATTCGAGGCCAATTAGGGCCGATTAGAGGCCAACTCGGGTCGATTCGAGGCCAATTCGGACCGATTCGGGTCGATTCGAGGCCAATTCTGACCGGTTCGGACCGATTCGGACCCATTCGGACGGATTCGGTCGATTCTAGGCCAATTCGGACCAATTCGGGCCAATTCGGACCAATTCGGGCCGATTCGGACCAATTCGGACCGATTCGGGTCGATTCAAGGCCCATTGGCACCGATTCGAGGCCAATTTGGACCAATTCGGACCAATTCGGACCAATTCGGACGGATTCGGACCGATTCGGACCCATTCGGACGGATTCGGGCCGATTCTGGGCCAATTCGGACCAATTCGGGCCAATTCGGACCAATTCGGACCGATTCGGACCGATTCGGACGGATTCGGGTCGATTCGAGGCCCATTGGTACCGATTCGAGGCCAATTTGGACCAATTCGGACCAATTCGGACCAATTCGGACGGATTCGGGTCGATTCGAGGCCAATTCTGACCGGTTCGGGTCGATTCTAGGCCAATTCGGACCAATCCGAGTCGATTCGAGACCAATTCTGACCGGTTCGGGTCGATTCTAGGCCAATTCGGACCAATCCGAGCCGATTCGAGGCCAATTCTGACCGGTTCGGACCAATTCAGACCAATTCGGACCCATTCAGACCGATTCGGGATCTTCAAAATGTTCATCTCTTTTCTCTAAATTCCCGGAATCATTTTCTTATTTAGTAATCAGTCCTATTTTATCAACATACTTTGAGCTGATTATTAGAGTATTAGAGAATATTTTATCATTTTCTGATTTCACCCTCAGATCAACAAACCCATTTTTGTTCTTAAACATCACGAGAAAATCTGGCAGGCATTTCTGAGAACGAAAATTTGTCGGATGATTGACGATGTTCAGTTCTGCGTTCGAAAGAAGGTTCAAAATATGTCCCCAAAGAGTTTTTGTCGGTTTTTCTTCGGAATAACAACGATTCCCATGAGAACAATTTTCTTGGAGACCTCTATTTAGGTCTTTTTATGATGTCCTCTTGGTAAAAATTTCTATTTTTCTTTATTTTCTGGATATTTTTCATAATCTACAGCTTTCTCTTTTTGTTAGCTATCTCTATCTTCAGCTGTTTCATTTTATTCTTCTCTTCAGCTGTTTAGTCTCAACTCTTGCACTAACTCTACCATTCTTGCTCTCTAACTGCTCCAAAATCTACTCGTTTTCTAAATCTTTTCATGGAAATCTTTAGAATTCTCGAATTTCTATGAATCCTTCTATTTCTATGTTTTTGTTTTCTTTTCTTTCACTCTTAGTCAAGTCCACAAGATCTCCCAATCGAAATTCAAATGAAAACTCTGAAAAAGAAATGTTTTAAAGCAAACAAAGCAATAATTAGAAGAAAAAGATATTACCATTTAACGACATTATCATTCTAATCTGTTCCCATTCGCTAAAAGCGAATCAGAACAGATTAAAATTAGAATTTAAATTCATTCGAACATTCTTGATCTTTTAGTTTGGTTTCTTTTAGAATAGAACTTCTCGATTTTACTTTTTCTCCAAACAATTGCTCTAAATTACTCTTTTTGCACTTAAGAATTGCAAAATGATACAAATAAAACGCAAGATTCAAAGCATTACACGTTACAGCATTACAGTGCAAGATTACACGGTTACTTCATCATTATTTCTTCTCTAGCTTCTCTAGCTCTTTATCTAGTTTTAACACGAATTTTCCCAGACTCTCAAACTATTGGATTGGTGAATTGAAGACTTTGAAGGTACATACATAAGAAATGCGGTCCAAAGCCAAGTCCAGAACTAGCCCTTGCAATTAGTTCAGTTATCCCAGCACAACTCCCAGTCCAAGCTTTTTGTCAGCTTTTTATTGGGTTGGTGAATTGAAAACTGCCGAATTTTGAAATAAAATTGATTCAACATAAAACCATCAATTCATTCCAAATAATTTCCATTATTATTGACGATTTCTGCTCATTTTAAAGGCAATTTGAGGATTCCTCTTTCGTAGTAGGATTTTGGTTTTGAATCGAAAAACTTTCAAAGCCAATTTTTGACTGCTTCTTCCGAATCGAAGTGTTAATCCAGAATAAATAGTAATCAGAAGTAATCAGAAATAGTAATCGGAAAGTAATCAAAAGGGGTGAGGTCCAGACTGTATGGGGAAAGCGCCAAAAGTTCCCAAACAAGGCTATTTACTTTAGATCGAATCAGTTTTGCAACATGAGGGCCCGCGTTGTCGTGGATCAGAACGATCTTTTGACTTGGAGGGCCTATTCTTCTTCAGGGATTCATTCACCTTTCCCAACTGTTCACTGTATTTGATTGCTTTAACGGTCGTCTTGCTATCCAGTAGGATTTTGGTTTGTGTGTGAGACAAGTGTGAGACTCAAAAATGGAGGGCTAGAGATGTCTGATGCCCCAGTTTGAGCACTTTCTTCAAAAGAAACCCATTTTGGTGTCAATGGAAAAGTTGTAGAGAATCAAAAATTAGGCTTATAGCCAAATTTCCAAAAAGATACACTTAGTAGTTTTGCTTAAAATGCAAATTTTGTTGCAAGTTTTGTGAAAATTCGTAAATTGGGCATTTCTTGAAAACCAGTTTTTGAATCTTTCTGAAATTTTGGATATAAGCTTGATTTTTGATTCTCTACAACTTTTCCATAGACACCAAAATGGGTTTCTTTTGAAGAAAGTGCTCAAACTGTCACATATGACAATAGCCCTCAGTTTTCAACTCATAACACTCATTTTCGCAGACTCTCAAACTATAAATGGGCCCTCAAATTCTTGTCAATATCTATTTCTGCTTAAAATTTTATCTCTATGTCTCTAGATATCGTCAGGCTCATCTCCAGGCTCAATCCCTGCCTAAAATCTTTCTCTCGATCTTTGCAAGTCTTCAAAACTCGTCTACAGCTTCCCCATCTTTTCAATTCTCAATTTTCTCTATACTTATCCCTTCAACTAGATGCTCTAGATCTAAACCTCTAGATTCTTGGCGAAAATTTCTCTTTGGACACATTCCACATGCACTTTGTCTCACCCGACACAAGCTCCTCCCACCCTCAGCCTCTCCCCTAAACATTCGCCCTTTATCTCTCCCCAATCCTCTTTCCCCTTTCATCTCTTCCCTTTTTTCTCTCATCTATCTTTTCCCTAAAATATCTGTTCAGATGGGTGGCCAGACCTCAGTTCACGCTCCTCCAGACATGCTCGACCATCACCATCAATACCCAGATATGAATATGATCTTCAAGGGAATCCCCAAAATGATACAGGTTGGTGAGGATTCTGTTTTTCTTTAAATTCCTTTCAAATTTTCAAAATACATTCACTTTTTGATTAAAGTCTAACATTAAAGAGAGTTTCTTGCTCTCAAACTCTCAAACTCAAGCTCTCAAACTCAAGCTCAAGCTCTCAAACTCTCAAACTCAAACTCAAGCTCTCAAACAGTTCTCTAAAAAGTATTCCTTTCTAGAGTTGATCTATTTTTATCTAATCTTTCTTTTTTATATCTTTTAATAGATTTTTGAGCTCTCACAGAATCAGAAAAGGAGATTGGATAAAAATAATATTACGGTAGAAAGAGAAGTAGACAGGGAAATGGATAAATCAGAGTTTTATTGGTTTAAATGAGAGTTTTATTGGCATTAAATTTTTAAATTAACTGTCTCGCCTAAGTTTAAGATATTAAGTTCAAATTTGAAATCTTTTAAATTAAATTTAGAGATTTAAAAGTAAATTTAAAGATCTAAAAGTAAATTTAAAGATTTCAAAGTTCAAAATTGAATTTCTCTTCAATTTCAAAAGATTTCAAAAGTTTAGAATTCAATTTTTCATTTCTTTGTGTTCATTTGAATCCATAACTACATAACTGAGCACGTGTGGCTGACTGGTTAAGTGTCTTTTATCTTAATCGGAAGGTCGAGGGTTCGAACCCCACATGCGACATGGTCACCCCCTTCGGATTTCCTTTCCCTTCGGGTTGAGAGGTTTTCTGGAGGGCAGTCTGGTGGTTGTGGCCCCAGTTCTTTAAAGTGACAAGCCACTCCTTCATCGTCATCTTCCCTTCACCACCAAAAAAGCTATTTAGTTCCCCATTGAGCTTAGGGTTAGGGAGCCGTCTGTCATGACGTGGGTTAAGTTAAGATATAGCCTAGTATTGTGTGTGTCGTTGTATTGTGATTGATATATTTCGTGTATGCGATAAATTCACCACTGGTAGCCCCAGTCGGTATTTTTAAAACTGCCTCGCCTAAGTTTAAGATATTAAGTTCAAATTTGAAATCTTTTAAATTAAATTTAGAGATTTAAAAGTAAATTTAAAGATCTAAAAGTAAATTTAAAGATTTAAAAGTTCAAAGATCGAGTTTCTCTTCAATTTCAAAAGATTTCAAAAGTTTAGAATCCAATTTTTCATTTCTTTGTGTTCATTTGGATTCAATACTAAATTTCATTTTTGAGCTTTTTCTTTTCTTTGTTCCCCAATTCTTTTACGAGCTAACAAGGCAAGTCAAAGAAGACTTCAAGTCAAAGAAGACTTCAAGTCAAAGAAGACTTCAAGTCAAAGAAGACTTCAAGTCAAAGAAGACTTCAAGTCAAAGAAGACTTCAAGTCAAAGAAGACTTCAAGTCAAAGAAGACTTCAAGTCAAAGAAGACTTCAAGTCAAAGAAGACTTCAAGTCAAAGAAGACTTCAAGTCAAAGAAGACTTCAAGTCAAAGTCAAAGTCAACATTCAAGTCAAAGAAGACTCAAAACTTGTTATGAGAATCGTTAACTCTCTGTTTCTCTTTTTTTTCTCTTTTTCTTTCTTTCTTTTTTTTTCTTTCTTTTTTTTTCTTTCTTTTTATTCTCATCTTAGTTTAAAAATGCTAGAAAGTTTTCAAATTTAACGAGATTTTTGTTAATGTAAGGTTAGGAATAGAATTAATTTCTGTAAGATAGATTTCTGTAAGTAATGTTACTATTAGGTAAATGCATAAGAAATGCGGCTCAAAGCCAAGTCCAGAACTAGCCCTTGCAATCAGTCCAGTTATTATTTGGTAAGCATTTCTATGATTATTATTTGGTACACGCATAAGAAATTTGGATTTCAACATTTTCATAAATTTCGAACGATAGAAACCTGATTTTATAAACTAGAATCGATGAATGTTATAAACTATTTAAAAGCTGTAAATCTCCTCTACAAAATAGGCTAAAACGTGTTTGAATTGATCGAAGCATTGAAGAAATTTGGAGGGTGAAATGCGAGTGACCAAAAAAAGGGATCGAGTCACTTTAGGGACAAGTTTAGTGTGGTCAAAATAGAGTTATCTTTCCAAAATTGAAGATTTAAACAAAAAGAAAGGATAACTAGATATCAATTCATTAAAAACTGATCAATTGATCGAAGCATTGAAGAAATTTCGAGGGTGAAATGCGAGTGACCAAAAAAAGGGCACTTTTTGAAAACCTCACTTTCACAAGAGTTCGGTTTTGACTATATAGTGGAAAGTGATCGCCCTGAATATCATTAAAAAAAACATCATTCAAAATAAAGAAGAGTTGGAATCATTTCATGGGAAAACTTTGTTTTTACAATAATTTTTCTTTTTTTGTGAAAAAGCCGATTTTTTGACAATTTTGAGGATTTACGAACTTACGCTCTATCTAAATTTCTCTAAATGCATTTCCGTTAGACTTTCTTAATGAATTAAGATATAGATCCTTTTTTAAAAGCTTCAATTTTGGGAAGCTAACTCTATTTTGACCACACTAAACTTGTCCCTAAAGTGACTCGATTCCTTTTTTTGGTCACTCTCATTTCACCCTCGAAATTTCTTCAATGCTTCGATGAATTGAAACACGTTTTAGCCTATTTTGTAGAGGAGATTTACAGCTTTTAAATAGTTTATAACATTCATCGATTCTATTTTATAAAATCAGGTTTCTATCGTTTGAAATCTATGAAAATGTTGAAATCCGAATTTCTTATGCAATAGATTCGTTAATTTTTTAGATTTTTTTCTTTAAAAACTTGATTGATAAAGGAAAACTTGTGAATGAGGGAGTGTAAAGGGTTTAAAGCTTGTTGTTTAAAGTTTAAAGCTTGGATAAACGTAATCGTAATCGTTTACGAGTTTCCCAGTTCTCCAGTTCTCCAGTTTCCCAATTTCCCGCTCACTTTCACTTTCGGGCTGAGCTTATCAATGAGATTCCAGTTGAACATGTTGTGATAGTTGAGATTTGTGATGTTGATGTTGTGGATAGTTAAGATTCACTTCAGTTATTTTACCGTAATAGAATACAGTACACACATACACACTAAACTTATCCCTACTTGGACTTGATCCCTTTTTTTGGTCACTCGCATTTCACCCTCGAAATTTCTTCAATGCTTCGATGAATTGAAAAACATTTTAGCCTATTTTATAGAGGAGATTTGCAGCTTTCAAATAGTTTATAACATTCATTGATTCTAGTTTATAACATCAGGTTTCTATTGTTGGAAATCTATGAAAATGTTGAAATCCAAATTTCTTATGCATTTACCTAATAGAACCTTCCATATCAAGCCAAGCCAAGCCAAGCCAGGCCAAGCCAAGCAAATCTAAAGAAAAAATCAAAGCATCAAGTGCTCTTGGCTTTAAAATTCAAGAATAATCAAATGCAAATCGATTTTTTAAGTTTAAAAGTTAGAAAAAAGCTGCTGATTCGCTGGCTAAGCTTTTTTTTTTGAAAGATTTTAAATTAAACATTATTTATGAAGCGATAACTTTTAAAAATCATTGTAAAGCATAAAAATTCAAGATTCTTTAAAGCTTTATTTTCCAAATTCCCCTTTTTACTTGAGTTCCGGGCAATTTAACACACAAAGAACCAGAATAACAAGCCGTAATAGCCTATTCACTCACCCCAAAATCGGTTTCCTTTTAAGTAAAGCTGTGAGCACTAATGTCCGATAATTGCTCTCTTTTCTTTTGCTTAGATCTTTTCTCAATCTTTTCTCAATCGTTTTCTTTTTGAGTCAGCTGGGGAACAACAAAGAAATGGACGGGATTCTCTTAAGTGGCTTCGATGAAAACACAATTTTTTTCAATAGAATACTGGGGAAGATGGATTAGAATTAGAACTAGAACATTTTTAGTGTAAAGAGTCAGTAAAATGTGAGTTTCTAGAGTCAAAAGAGAGTTCCTAAGCCTAAACAGCGACTTCGGTACAATTCTCGAGAGCTAGCTAAGAAGAAAATCAAATCAAATCAAACGCAAACACATTTCTTCATTGATTGTTCAAGAGCAACAAGAGTTTAAGGATTGCAATCATGAATTTGGATTGTATTTGTACTTGTGAACAGTGGGCGCCTAAACAGTGGGCGCCTAAGCCGCCTAAACATAGTTTTTTAACAACAACAAACTAAACAACGCCTAAACAACGCCACTCAACGCATAGTTTAATAAAGAATCGTAGTAAAACTATTCTAAACAGCTTTGCTGCCTTGATTGATTGATGAAACATTCAAATCTTGCGCTACTTCATTGTACTACCTCAAATGATACCTCAAAACTATCGAAGTTGACTCTCCAACAGTTAGAATACATTTGGAAAAGAAGAGCAAAACTATTTTCTAACCCACGATCCCTCTTTCCATTTCTCGTATGCTTTAGATCTAGTGGCTCTTTGCCGTAAGTAATTGGCTTATTGATTTCAGTATGTATTGTATGATTAAGTATCACTGTGCATTTCTCTATCATTTCTTTCACTTTATCGTTTGAATAAAGTATTATTATTATTGTTTAGCAATTGATTAGCAATTGATTAGCAATTGATTAGCAATTGATTAGCAATCAAGCTTTTAAATTTAACATCTTGTTTAGCAATTTATTATAAGAGAAAATTGTGTTGATCAAAAGAAAAATCTTAAAAATTAGAAAATACGGTATTTGTAAGAAATATATGGTGATGCTTTGATCTATATAATTTCTTGTGAGACCGTGTCTCGTTGTGGTTCAATGGTGGTCTTCTTGAAAACGTAATAATTTATCCAACTTTCCCTTGTTAGGGCAACTTCGCTCAAACTAGAGCAACTTGGCACTATCACAATTAAATCAACACCTGAATGTGAAAAAAGAATGATAAAGCACAAAAAAGGAGAACAACAAACTCACTCAAAAGCAAAGCTTAAATAATGGGTTTTTTAAGCATACAAGCTACAACAACCGGACAGCTGAATATCATTTAGTGACTGATTACGGTAGTTTATCCACCAACTTTGAACTTTAACTTGTATTGAATTTTTGATTAACTGCAGAGCAGTGGCAATTCGCCACAGTATTTCCTCTCATAGTAGTGCACCCCGAGCGTCCCCTAAATTCCTTTAATAGCCTTTCCTTTAAATTTTGACTTAATTCAGACTTTATTTTGATCTCATTCGATAAAACAAATTAAAATACAATCAAAATTAAATCAATAAAGTTAGTTTGTTTTATCGAATGAGATCAAAATAAAGTCTGAATTAAGTCAAAATTTAAAGGAAAGGCTATTAAAGGGTTATTGAAGGATTATTTTTTTTTTAGACTTTTTCAAATTTAAACCGCGGTCAGGGCCCAGAAGTGGCTCATTCCTTTTGCAAATTCCCTTTGCTTCCAATGCCTCTTTATCAAATTCATTTCCCGTTAGAGCCGCTAGATTATGGAACTTGCTCCCAAACGACATACGAGAAATTCAGTCGCTTTTCATATTCAAGAAACGTATCGATGCTTTAGATCTAGTGGCTCTTTGCCGTAAGTAATTGGCTTATTGATTTCAGTATGTATTGTATGATTAAGTATCACTGTGCATTTCTCTATCATTTCTTTCACTTTATCGTTTGAATAAAGTATTATTATTATAGCTCCAACCACTTACTTTCCACTTATTTCCAGATTTTCATTTAAAAGCTGTAGCAAAAAGATCTAAGCTTTGATATTTGGACCGAATCGCACTGAAAACTGATCTCTAGTGTGTCACGTTGAAAGACCAAGTGTATTAACGATGAAATGCATCTGTAAATCTATTTATTCCCTTCAATTTCATCATTTTCATCATTTTCCCTCCACTCTCAATTATCTATTGGCACGCAAATGTGCTCATTGCACATTTGGCTCTTTTCTTTGGCCCTCATTGCACATTTGGCCATTTGGCCCTTTTCTTCTTTCATTTCGGGCTTCAAATCAGCAATTTCCTCTTTCAAAATGACAGAATGACACATTTCATATGCAGATTTGTGTTGATTGAATGTGTGAATGAAATGGGAAACAAAATGAAATGAATTGAAGGAATTGAAATGGATTGAAATGAATTGAAATAAATTGAAATGAATTGAAATGAATTGAAATGGATTGAAATGGATTGAAATGGATTGAAATGGATTGAAGTGGATTGAAATGGATTGAAATGAATTGAAATGAATTGAAATGAATTTAAAGAATTGAAATGGATTAAAAGAATTGAAAGAATTGACATGGATTGAAATGAATTGAAATGAATTAAAAGAATTCAAATGGATTTAAAGAATTCAAATGAATTCAAATGAATTAAAAGATATTTGAAGAAATGCGGGAAATGGAAATGAAGTTTTTTCAATGTTTTTTCAAATGTTTTCGGTGATTAGATTGTTCTATAAAAGGAAAATTGTTAAATTTGAATGAAATTCAAAAAGTTATTTTCCAGTTAGACTCTATAATATTCAAATGACAAAGGCAAGAAAGTCAAATTAAAAAAAAGAGATAATCATAAATTAAAGAACGAATTTAGCTCGTTAACAGCTTATTAGACACAATTTGGGCTTAAAGCCAAGTCAAAGGCATTCTCGCAGACTTACAGAAACAGAAAAGACTTACAGAAACGCTGACTTGATAGTATTTTGGAAAAATCCGGGTATTTGCAGATTTGTGTTGATTGAATGTGTGAATGAAATGGGAAACTTGAAAGAATCCGCGTCTTTTGAAAGAATCTGGGTATTTTGAAAGAATTCGTGTCTTTTGAACGAGTCGTCACCCTTTAAAAGCATAGAACTTTCTCTAGCGACAATATTTTTGCTAGCAGCTTTTTATATCATTGTACAGAAGATATTTTAGGCTCTCTAATGATACCAAATAAAGCTTGATTGGATTTTTCATCCCCATGAAAACCAGGCGACACGACACCAGAGTCGGATAGGTCACATTTTCTCAGAGTTGGCTCTGATTCTCTTGGACTGGATTTTCCAATCAAACTCTATTTGGTATCATTTCAAGCCTGAAATGTTCTCTGTACAATGATAAAAGTAATTTGCAAAAATATAATCTCTGGACAAAGTTATAGGCTTTCAAAGTGTGACGATTCGGTCAAAATACCCGGATTACTTTAAAATACTTTAAAAGCCTATATCTTTCTCTAGAGACAATATTTTTGTTAGCTTTTTATATCATTGTACAGAGAACATTTCAGTCTTTCAAATGATACCAAATAGAGCTTGATTGGATTTTTCATTCCCATGAAAACCAAGTGACAAGACACCCGAGGTGGATAGGCCTCATTTGCTCCGAGTTTGCTCTGATTTTCTTGAACTGGATTTTCCAATCAAGCGCTATTTGGTATCATTTCAAGCCTGAAATGTCCTCTGTACAATGATATAAAAAGTTACCAAAAATATTGTCTCTAGAAAAGGTTATAGGCTTTCAAAGTGTAATGAGTCGTTCAAAATACCCAAAAACTATGCAAGAGCTGTAAACTGTAAGTCTCAATATCTAATCTCTTTTCAAATTTAAATCATAATAAAGCAAGAAAGCAAACACAGTCTTTTGTAGTCTGTAAAATACTTTAACCATTTCTAGGTGGCTGATGACATGCACCGAATGACAAACTATATCATGGACCTCCGCAATATGACCATCATTTTAATTATCATTTCAGCGATTGGAATTGTCGGGTAAATAAATTCGATTTAAAAGGATTGATCAAGAAAATCTAGATTTTTGATCATCCGTGCAGCCAGCAGGAACAATCAGAAGAGACGCAGAAGGAGCATTCGAGCTGTGAGTTTGCATAAAGAACTCAATCTAGTAGACGAAGAAGATGAAGAAGAAGATGATGATTCTATGCAAAAGAGGCGGGACAATTGTGCGACCTTTTATACGGGTCCCGCCCCTTTGCCATTGGCAATCAAACTTTAAGCTCGATTTTCTCGGCGTTGGACTGTCCAATTTAAATAGTTTTTATATCAATCGATAGAGGAAGACTTAGCGCATTTAATGATACCAAGAATGTCTAAATTGAACAGACCAACACCAAGAAATTTGAGCTTAAAGTTAGGGAAAAGGGGCGGGGCTTATCAGACGTCCGATAAACTTTTATACTTGCCCCGCCCCCTTTGTCTAGCTTTGAGCTCAAATTTCTTGGTGTTCAATGGTCCAATCTTAATTGTTTTTGTACCAATCGATAGCGAAAGACTTGGCGAATCCAATGATACCAAAAATACCTAAATTGGACAGTCCAACACCAAGAAATTTGAGCTTAAAGTTAGGGAAAAGGGGCGGGGCTTATCAGACATCCGATAAGACGGTAGTTTATGGTAGATTTCGATGAATTACAGTAGCCAATCTAGTTAATTGTAGTAAGAGAGATCAAGTGCGTTTTGGAATGGTTGCCTGGTGAGTGAAAGGTCTCAGGTTCGAGTCCCAACGGTGGACAAGCTTTTGATGTGCTCTAGTTTCAACATAGCTTGCTATAGGTTGCTATAAGTCACACTAGAGTAGATTGCCTAAGTTAGATTGCCAATGGCAAAAGGGGCGGGACTGATCAAATGTTTCCACAATCCAGAAAATCCTTTTCCTTTTCATATTTTCTTTTGAAAAATAACAAATTCATCAATTAGCCTATGGTTTACTCTACATAAAAAGTATCTGGCTTTGTTCTATCATGATTTGTTCTATCCTTGATCATGATCTGATTCCGATCTGAAGCTCTGGCTCTAGTCCTGTCCTAGCTCTGGCTCTGGCTCTAGTCCTGTCCTAGGTCCGGGTCTGGCTCTGGCTCTAGTCCTGTCCTAGCTCTGGCTCTGGCTCTAGTCCTATCCTAGCTCTGGCTCTGGCTTGACCCTGATCTAACCCCTGGTTTGGCTCTAGTCTGATCTTAGCTTGGCTCTAACTTGGCTCTAACTCGGCTCTAAATTGGCCCTAACTTGGCTCTAACTTGGCTCTAACTTGGCCCTAACTTGACTCTAACTTGGCCCTAACTTGGCCCTAACTTGGCTCTAACTTAGCCCTAACTCTGGTCTTAAACCACAAAGCCTTAAACTCATAAAGTTGTGTATTTTGCTTCTCCGCAATCTGAAAATTTCGAACAACAACTTGTCAAGTCTTCTTTTTTGCAAAATGATTGATGTTCGGTTGTTTCGGCTGAGCGATTTGCTAGATGAAAGTCTTTTTTGAGACTAAAAACAGAATCTTTTCGCTCTATCGGACTTTCATCGAATGGGATAGAGGAAAAGAAACAAACGAAGCATTTAATCCATTTTCGGGAAAAGTTCTTTCGCCAAATTCTCTCACCAAATAACAGAATTCACTAGGGTAGGGCGTTTTTTTTTGAGAAGAATCAAGTTTTAGAACTAAAATTGAATTGTTTCGTAGGAGAACATCAATAGAAAGTTGTAGTACGATTCTTGGTGAAATCAGCAACCGATTACTGGCTAAAATCAGGCAAAAGGCTTTAAAGTAGATGTGTTGAAAAGAGATTTTTCAAAGATTTGATCTAAAAGTCATTTGATCTGATTCCGACCTGACGCTCTGGCTCTAGTCCTATCCTAGCTCTGGCTCTGGCTCTAGTCCTATCCTAGCTCTGGCTCTGGCTCTAGTCCTATCCTAGCTCTGGCTCTGGCTCTAGTCCTGTCCTAGCTCTGGCTCTGGCTCTAGTCCTATCCTAGTTCTGGCTCTGGCTCTAGTCCTATCCTAGCTCTGGCTCTGGCTCTAGTCCTGTCCTAGCTCTGGCTCTGGCTTGACCCTGTCCTAGCCTTGACCCTGATCTAACCCCCTGATACTGATGAAGAAAACTGAAAGCCTGAAATTGAAATGTTTTCTTGGAAGATTGATAGATGTAGATGGGTTACTATATTTGAAAATACGTTTTAGTACAGTCTAGATTTAGTCTAGATTAGCTGGATTACGGTATTCAGTCTAGATAGCTGGATTACGGTATTTAGTCTCGATTACGGGTATCGGTCTAGATTAAGGTATTCAGTTAAGATTAGCTGGATTACGGTGTTCAGTCTAGATTAGGGTATTCAGTCTAGATTAGCTGGATTACGGTATTCAGTCTAGATTAGGGTATTGACTGTAATTGTAATTTTACTGTAATTGACTTTTCACTAAACTTTTCCAGATAGCTGCCTCTTACCATAATACTGATTCACTTAAACACAACAAACAGCCCACTAGGTTAAAACCAAATTTAAAACTCATTTAAATCTACTTTAAAACTCATTTTAAACTCATTAAAAACTCATTTAAAACTCATTTAAATCTGTAACCCAATCGGTTACATGTTTGCAGATTCTTTCCATATAAACCTAAACGGTTTTAAAAGAGAAAAAGCGGTTACGCTGTTTTAAAAGGGAAAAAGTGAGACTGGTAAAGACAAACCGAACCGAAAACCGAATCCTAGCTTTTAGCCAACATTTGTTGTACTTAAGTTTATTAAGAACAAACAAACACAAACAAATAAATCTTCAGAGTCCCACGAGTAGTTTCCAGCATCTAAATACTAACCTTTATTTCAGGAAGAAGGAATGATGGCTGCTTATCCTCCCGGCCCATATCCTCGATATTTTTATCCAGGATATCCACCAGCTGTTGATACTTGGGATCGACCAAAGAGCACTTTCTCTCATCACAGCAATCATGCCGATGTTGGTTTGGAGAATTTGTAGCAGTAAGACATAAGCATTTGTATCGGTAAGACTAGCAGTAGCAGTAAGACTAATCTAACAATGGGATCCCATCAGTAGCTCATTGATAGAGCAAAGCTAAGCTTTAAGCAAAGCTTTTGGTTCGAATCCAGGTCTTGGAGTAGTCTGGCATTTTTTGAGATCATCTCTAGCGACAGAAAAGCTATTTTTGGACTTTGTGAATCACCCACCTCTTCTGATGCACTCATTTCTCACCTTAGAAGTAGTAAAATGTTCAATACATCAGAAAAACTGCACTAAATAAGTTCTGAATTTTCAGCAGCTTGAGGAGAAGAAACCCGTGGACAGTCGAAATTCTCCTGAAACTGCAAAGCTGAACGGCCACGTTGGAAGCAGCACTTACAAGGTACAAAAGGTAAAAAAAAGGAGAAACAAGCTCAATGTTGTTTTGTAAAAACGTGTTATTAGCTTTTGTTTGTTTCAGGAGAAATGGGCGAAAAAGTACAGAGAGAATCCGATAATGTGGAGAATCCTGGAGAGCTTTGATAAAGTGATTTAGGCACTAGGATCCCTCAGCAAAGCACAAGAAAACTAATGCTTTTAGGCCTAGTACTTATTACTGTACACATAGATGCTTGAGTTATTAGCAGAACCAGATTGGCTTTTCTCAGAGCACACGCTCGCCCTGGCCAAAGGCCAAGTCATGAATTGGCTTAGGCTTAGACTTAGGCTTAGACTTAGGCTTAGACTTAGGCTTAGGCTTAGGCTTAGGTTTAGGTTTAGACTTAGGCTTAAGCTTAGGCTTAAGCTAGGCTTAGGCTTAGGCTTAGGTTTAGGTTTAGGCTTAGGCTTAGGCTTAGGCTTAGGCTTACGCTTAGGCTTAAGCTAGGCTTAGGCTTAGGCTTAGGTTTAGGTTTAGGCTCAGGCTCAGGCTTAGGCTTAGACTTAGGCTTAGACTTAGGCTTAGGCTTAGGCTTAGGCTTAGGTTTAGACTTAGGCTTAAGCTTAGGCTTAGGCTTAGGCTTAGGCTTAGATCATGAAGTTTCTGGGATTGTCTTAAGCTTAAATTTGGCTTCTGGTAAAGCTTTGGTCTGGTCTGGCTACTGTTCTTGGCTTGGTTTAGCCTGCTTAAGCCCATAAAAGTTGTTAGACCAAAGAAGCCGCCTCTGGACTTCTGAAAGGGCTTTGACCTGACCTAGCTTTGCCTAGCTTGGCTCATGCTGGCTAAACTATGCTCTTCTAGAGTCTGATTAGGAAAACCCGGGTAGGAAATCATCTACAGTACTGGACAATGAAAAATGACATTAGAAAATCGAAAATCTTTGCGGCACTGGTAGGAAATCATCTGGTAGGAAACTTCTCAATCTGTTTACGTAGACCATAAGTGTTAGATAATTTCTGAAAGCTGATCAAGATCTTTACAATGGCTTTTAGACACTTATGATCTACTTAAAAAGCTTGAGAGGTTACGGTGCAGTAAAAAATGGGTCCGATTTTCTAATGTCATTGTCCAGTATTGTACAAGTTAAACCCAACACCGATTAGAGATCAACTAAATGCATCTGAGCACTACAAACAAAAGTCACAAGACGCAAGTACTGTACTAGTACAAGTACTGTAAAAAACTTGTCAAGATTTTGCCCAAGGCATTTGCTTGCTATAATAGTTGAAGAAATAGATTTGCTTGCTTAAAAATCAACCTTTACTGCTTTTATTAGTACTAGTACTGCTTTTAAGCTGTTAATCCAACAAGGCAACAATACTATCCTCCAAATGGTGGCGAATTTTGGCAACATCTTTTTTGAAAGAGTTTGAAGCAGATTTATTACTAAAGTGCTAAGTGTTATATAGAGAATTGTAGCCCTAATTCTTGGCTACATTTATCTGCAAAGGGCTTTCCAATTGGAATTATATAACTCATTTTACAAGCTCTCAAAACTCAAGTCGGACTTTTTCAAAACTTTCTCAAAACTTTTTGGAAAACTAACTGGGAAATGTCTAATTTATTTCAAATGTCCCAAGTGTTATATAGAGAATTGTAGCCCTAATTCTTGGCTACATTTACCACATAAAAGTTTCCCGATTGGAGATCTACAACTTATTTTACAAGCTCTCGAATGAGTTTTGAAAAAGTCCGACTTGAGTTTTGAGAGCTTGTAAAATGAGTTATATAATTCCAATCGAGAAGTTCTTTGCAGATAAATATAGCCAAGATCCGGGGCTTTATTTTTCTATATAACACTTGGCACTTTAGTAATAAAGCAACTTCAAACTTCAAACTCAAACTCAAACTCTTCCAAAAAAGGTGGGAGGTCACGAAAAGTATTACCAAATTATCTAAGCCATTTACGAAGAAAATCTTGTGTATAAACTACTAGTTTTGATGCCTTTTGGAAGTACAAAAGCTAATCTTTACACAAAACAAAACACAAAACTTTTAATTCCAGAGTTTCTCTCAAGACGACTCGGTGCTTGCGATGGATCAATCGGAGAAGAAACTCCCCTCACTTCTCACGAATTCGACTCCATCCGATGTGCCAGCCTACCGTGCCCCCACCGGAGCTCATAAAGTCTGATCTCTAATCAAAATCAAATCAAATCAATCAACTATCCCTACATTTTTGCTTTCCTCTCAAAACTTTATTTCATTTTTCTAGTTTAGTGGAGAGCGAGTATTCCGAGAACCTCTATTAGGTAAATGAATTTTTTTGGACATGGAATTTTACTGTAGATTTTGAGTTCAATGAATGTAGAGAATTGGCACAATGCTGTCGTAGGTGAATCGTGTTTCGAATTGAAGTGTAAAATTCCATGACTATCCACAACCTGGCTTTGTTTTTCAAAGAGTTTTGAATGGTCAAAAGAGAGCGGAGACTTTGTTTGTCTCGAGTGAAGGGTTTTCTAAAAGGTGATCTCAAGAGAAAGATGATCTAAGCTACCATAAGCTACTGTAATCTGCTGTACTCTGCCGTAATCTATCGTACTTTATCGTACTCTATCGTAATCTATCGTAATCTATCGTACTCTATCGGAATCTATGTACTCTATCGTACTCTATCATACTCTATTGTACTCTATCGTACTCTAGTGTGACCTATAGCAAGCTATATCAAGCTATGTTGAAACTAGAGCACATCAAAAGCTTCTCCACCATTGGGACTCGAACCTGCGACCTTTCACTCACCAGGCAACCATTCCAAAACGCACTTGATCTCTCTTACTACAATTAACTAGATTGGCTACTGTAATTCATCGAAATCTACCATAAACTACCGTCTTATCGGATGTCTGCTAAGCCCCGCCCCTTTTCCTTAACTTTAAGCTCAAATTTCTTGCTGCTGGGCTGTTCAATTTAGACATTCTTGGTATCATTAAATGCGCCAAGTCTTTCTCTATCGATTGGTAGCAAAACTATTTCAATTGAACAGCCCAACACCGAGAAATTCGAGCTTAAAGTCAGATTGCCAATGGCAAAGGGGCGGGGCGCGTATAAAAGGTCTTCTGGCTCCGCCCCTTTTGCCAATCCAACTTTAAACGGAAAGATCTTGGTGTTGGGCTACTCAATTCACATGTTCTCGGTAGCATTGGATAGGCCAAGCCAAGCCAAGGCCAAGCCAAGCCAAGGCCAAGCCAAGCCAAGGCCAAGCCAAGCCAAGGCCAAGCCAAGCCAAGGCCAAGCCAAGCCAAGCCAAGGCCAAGGCCCAGCTGACCATTACACCAAAGCGCACTTGTTCTCTCTTACTACAGTTAACTAGATTGGCTACTGTAATTCATCGAAATCGACCATAAACTACCGTAAAGTTCCTACCGTAATCTAGCCAAAAACAAGCTTATCTATTAGTCGAAAAGTACAAGTACTAAGAAAAAGGAGTACATTAGATTACGATAGCTTTATTCCAAGTATAGACGGGCTTAAATTGATAAAAAAGCCAGCTTACGGTAGCTTTCCTCAAAGTTCACCTTTTAGAAAAGAATCTAAAAAGCATGCTGCAAAAATCTCGTAAAAAAAACTGCTGCACAAATCTTTACAATCTTTCTTTTTTGTTTTGTACAATTGTAGTGAATATCTTTGAAGAGTTTCGAGTTTCGAGTATCGTTCTTGAATCGGAAAGAGATTTGGTTTCGTTGGAATCAGTTGAATTGCACTTTTTGTCATCAACTTTAAGCTATTAAAAAGATTTGAAGCAAATTTTAGTGATTATTGTTGGTTTAGATATAATCTTTATTACAGCAAGAATAGTTGATTCAGTGGTTTGGGATTGGGAGAGTAGAGACGACTCCACGGCAGCTGTCGGCAGCTCGTTCACATTGCTTTTATACAGAACTTTGGCGTTGGGGTACATAGGTGTCTAGCTCAGGTCTACATAGGTGTCTAGCCCATTTCCATACGTGGTGATCTTGATCACGAGATCGTCATGACACAAATAGCAAAGCAAAGCAAATAGCAAAGCAAAGAAAAATGTCTAAAATAGTGGATCGTTGGAGAGAAGCTGAGCTCATTCGAGAGCTTGTAAAATAAGTTGTATATCTCCGATCGGGAAACTTTTATGTGATAAATGTAGCCAAGAATTAGGGCTACAATTCTCTATATAACACTTGGTACTTTTGAAATAAATTAGACATTTCCCAGCTAGTTTTCCAAAATGTTTTGAGAAAGTTTTGAAAAAGTTTTGAGTTGATTGAGTTTTGAGAGCTTGTAAAATGCGTTATATAATTCCAATCGAGAAGTTCTTTGCAGATAAATATAGCCAAGATCCAGGGCTTTATTTTTCTATATAACACTTAGCACTTTGGTAATAAAGCAACTTCAAACTTCAAACTCAAACTCTTCCAAAAAAAGGTGTGAGGTCACGAAAAGTATTACCAAATTAGCCTGAGCCATTTACGAAGAAAATTTTGTGTATAAACCGCTAGTTTGATGCCTTTTGGAGATACCTAAGCTAATCTTTTTTAATTGCAGAGTTTGGTGCCCGCTCTTGAGGTACCTAAGCTAATCTTTTTAACTACAGAGTTTGGTGGCGCTGCTGACTGCGCCACAGCGTCCCCAACTAGAAAAACCAACTAGAGAAAACCAGAAAAACATTAAGCCAGAAAAAAGCCCGTTGTTCGTCTGGTTTTAATTGATATTGGATAAATAGATGATGATTTTACAAATAGATAAATAGATAATGATTTTACATAGAAAATAAATAGATGATGAATACAAAATTGCGAAGAAATCGAAGAAATTCAACTGCAAACCGCGAATCTCAATCTCTTTCCCAAAAGTATTCGTATTTTCCTTTTGTTTTCTTTTTTTCTCTTTAAAACCACAAAAATTTCAGCGCCCCCTCGAATCCGTGAAACTAATCGTCGAAGATCTGCCCTATGCGGATAGTGAAAACAAATATTGAAGGATATTGAAGGCTATCAAAGGCAATCAAAGGCTATTAAAGGCTATCAAAGGCTATCAAAAGCTATTAAAGAATCTCAAAGGCTATCAAAGAATATTAAAGTTTCTAGCTTCCATTTGGCACTTTCTGATATGATTTTAGCTTATTTTAGCTTATTTTAGCTTATCAGCGCTAAATCTGAGTGTTTTCTTTTGTTGCTTTAGTTTTAAAAGTGAATTGGTTGGTCAATTGGTCAATTAGTTCCGTTCGTTTGAGAAAAGTGTGGCTTTTTTTGTAAACGCAAGGGATCTAATGCATTGAAAGTGTTTAAATTAACATTTAACATTTAAATTAACAATTTATTAATCGATTTTAACGCTTTTAAGTTGAAAAAAGTACTTTTAAGCATACTAAAGCCATTTTCTAGCAAACTAAAGCCATTTCCGATTAAACAAAAGCAACTTTTCAAGTTGAAGAAGTGCTTTTAAGCAGACTAAAGCAACTTCTCAAGTTGAAGAAGTACTTTTAAGCAGAATAAAGCCAATTTTCAAGTTTAAAAAGTACTTTATAAGCTAAAAAAAACATTTTCTGGAAAAATAAAGCCACTTTTTAGCAAACTAAAGCCATTTCCGATCAAACAAAAGCCACTTTTTAAGTTGAAAAGGCACTTTTAAGCAGAATAAAGCCAATTTTCAAGTTTAAAAAGTACTTTATAGGCTGAAAAAGTGCTTTTTAAGCTAAAAAAATATTTTCTCGCAAACTAAAGCCACTTTTTCGCAAGCCAGAGCCATTCCCGATCAAACAAAAGCCACTTTTCAAGTTGAAAAAGTACTTTTTAAGCTCAAAAAAGCACTTCCTGGCAAACTAAAGCCACTTTTTAGCAAGCCAAAGCCATTTCCGATCAAGCAAAAGCCACTTTTCATGTTGAAAAAGTACTTTTTAAGCTCAAAAAAGCACTTCCTGGCAAACTAAAGCCACTTTCTAGCAAGCCAGAGCCATTTCCGATCAAGCAAAAGCCACTTTTTAAGTTGAAAAGAGCACTCACTCCGATCAGTTTGAAGTCATTAATCCATTTTAAGTTTTACAACAAAAAAAGTCGGAATTTTGAGTTAGTTTTGAGACAAATTTCAAATGAAAATTCAAAGGAAAGACGAAAATTCTGAAGTTTTTGTGCGTTTCATGCGTTTTGTGCGTTTTGTGGGCTTCTTTTTTCTTTTTCTTTGTCGTGCCTTATTGTTTATTTGCTCATCTATCATATTTAACCAAAAAAAAATTTAACCAAAAGAGAAAATTGCCATAAATTCTTGAAAAATCTCATAATTTTGTGTCAAATACTAACGTAGATTTCGCTCGTTTCGTTCTTTGAAGTGAATTTGTGGAAACGTCAGCTCTTGGTGCACTGAATTCTTAGAAATCAATCAAGCTTTCTTTAGAAATCAATTCTTTTTAGCAATCCAGTGGAAAGGGAAAGTTTCCAGTCCAATAGAAAGAGTTTTTTGATAAAAATTGAGCAAAAAGTACATGAAAAGGGCTCTGTTTAGATGTACTTTCTGTTTGGAAATGTACTCTGTTTGGAATTGTACTCTTTCTGGAGGTAGACTCTTTCTAGTAATGTACTCTTTCAACATTCAACCGATCCTTCGGGCCCGGTGCACTTGTTGTCTGTATGTAGCCCAGCGCTGAATCCCTCGGCTTTTAGTCGCGGGGAAATGTAGCGTATAGGTGCGGCTATCCGGCGCCATCACTTACTCAAAGTCCCTTTGACTGGGGCTATAGATCAGAGAAGGTGCAAGTCCTGTACGAGTGGTGACGGAGTCGGTCGGTCGTTCCTTGGAGTCGGGTTGCCTGAGAACGCAGCCTTAAGCGGGTGGTAAACTTCATCTAAGGCTAAATATGGCTACGAGACCGATAGCGAACAAGTACCGTGAGGGAAAGTTGCAAAGGACTTCGAAGAGAGAGTTAAAGAGTGCGTGAAACCACTGGAGTCGAAACGTCGAAGAGTCGACGTAACGAGGCAACATTCAACCGATCCTTCGGGGCCCGGTGCACTTGTTGTCTGTATGCGCTGAGTGCGTTGATTGTGCGCGTCGAACCGGTACGTGTTGCCCACTTATGTGGTGTCTTGCGTGTCGGGGAGACGTGTCACGACTAGCGTGATTCGGTGTGCAAGTCGATCACCTATCCGACCCGTCTTGAAACACGGACCAAGGAGTCTTGCGTATGCGCGAGTCATTGGGTGGAAAACCTAAAGGCGCAATGAAAGTAAAGACCGCATAAAGCACATGAAAAGGGCTCTGTTTAGGTGTACTTTCTGTTTGGAAATGTACTCTTTCTGGAGATGTACTGTTTCTAGAAATGTACTCTTTCTAGAAATGTACTCTTTCTGGAGATGTACTCTTACTGGAGATGTACTCTTTCTGGAAACGTACTCTTTCTGGAGATGTACTCTTACTGGAGATGTACTCTTTCTGGAAACGTACTCTTTCTGGAGATGTACTCTTTCTAGAAATGTACTCTTTCTGGAAATGAACTCTTCTACTTTACTTCTAGCACATTAAGCTTTACAATTTCCCTTTCATAGTCAATTCAGTGCACTAGAAAGCGTGTGTTTACATGATTTAAGCATAAAGTACATAAAAAGGGATCTGTTTAGGTGGACTTTGTGCTTAAAATTAGAAATTTACTCTTTCTGTTGGAGATTTACTCTTTCTGTTTGAAGATTTACTCTTTCTAACACGTAAAGTACATGAAAATGGATCTGTTTTGATGTACTTTCTGTTAGAAAATGTACTCTTCCTGGAAAGGTACCCTTTCTGTTTGATTTCTGTTTGATTTCTGTTTGAAAATGTACTCTTTCTAGCAAAAAATGTACTCTCTAGCAAAAAATGTACTTTCTCTAGCACATTAAACTTTCCAATTTCCCTTTCATACTCAATTCAGTGCACCAGAAAGTGTGTGTTTACAAAATGAAAGCAAAAATTAGCAAATTTCTTTCGTTTTCTTTCGTTTTTCGTTTTTTTTTTGCGGGTTTTTTCTATTGTTTTCAAGTTTTTTCTATGAAAAAATCAACTTTTAAATCAAATTTTTTCCGTGAAATTATTTTGTCAACTTTTTCAGTGTCAATATTTCAGTTTTTGCTTTTTCTTTTTGTATTTTCTTTTTCTTAATTCATTCCATTACATTTTGAAATTCATGTAATAAAGATTTAAATAGAAAAAAAAAAAAAAAAAAAATTAAAATTCAAGATTTTTTAGCAATAATTCAATCAATATATCAATTGGAATAATAATAATACTTTATTCAAACGATAAAGTGAAAGAAATGATAGAGAAATGCACAGTGATACTTAATCATACAATACATACTGAAATCAATAAGCCAATTACTTACGGCAAAGAGCCACTAGATCTAAAGCATCGATACGTTTCTTGAATATGAAAAGCGACTGAATTTCTCGTATGTCGTTTGGGAGCAAGTTCCATAATCTAGCGGCTCTAACGGGAAATGAATTTGATAAAGAGGCATTGGAAGCAAAGGGAATTTGCAAAAGGAATGAGCCACTTCTGGGCCCTGACCGCGGTTTAAATTTGAAAAAGTCTATAAACAAAGGGCTAATCTGTTTACTACGGAGGATTTTGAAAGTTTCGACTAAATCAATGACAAAGCGACGATGCTGTAAAGTTTTTAGTTCAAAAAAAGCAAGTCTCTCCTCATAAGTAAAGCTAGAATATTTAGAATAGTCAATTTTCCATAAAGCGACTTTTGTGAACCTCCTCTGAATTTTCTTTTCAACTTTTTCAGTGTCAATATTCAGTTTTTTGCTTTTTCTTTTTGTATTTTCTTTTTCTTAATTCATTCCATTACATTTTGAAATTCATGTAATAAAGATTTAAATAGAAAAAAAAGAGAATTGTTACAAAAAAAAAAACAAAAAAAAAACAAAACAAAAAATTAAAATTCAAGATTTTTTAGCAATAATTCAATCAATACATCAATTGGAATCAAAAAAAAATTGAAAAACCTTTTGTGGAAACTTTTTCTGAACTTTATTTTCAAACAAAACTAGCGTATTGCCGTTTTTTTAATGCCGAAAATTTGATTATGCGGCCTTGATATTGCATGAATTCCATTTAAACAAGGAATTCAAAAAAAGGAAAGAATTTATAATGAAATTTGCTTTCTAATAGTCTACAGGGTGCGGCAGAATTATAGGTGCATGACATAAAGACGGAAAACGAGCCTTCGCTCTTGACTTCATTGCATTCAACGAGTGGCCCCCAAGCTCCCCAGACCTCAATCCATTGGATTTCTCGGTCTGGTCTGTTCTTGAAGCCGAGGCCTGTCAGAAACCTCACAAAAACCTCGAAAGTTTGAAGAAATCTCTCTTGAAAGCCTGGGAGGGTCTGGACGCCGCCTACTTGGTCGCCACGGTCGACGCCTTTCCCAAGCGACTCAAGTCTTGCATCGACGCCAAAGGAGGAAGATTCGAATATGATCAATAAAAGTTGTTAATTTAAGTTCAATAAATATGTTAAAACTGTTTTTGTGGCAAATTTTTCGTTTTTTGGTCATATTCCAATGGAACTTCTCTGCACCTATAATTCTGCCGCACCCTGTATTTTCTTTAAAGCTACCCCAAGCCAGATTTTAATACCGTATTCTCTCTAATAGTAGTGCACCATAAGCGTCGTCTAAATTCCTCGAAATCTCGCAAACCGCTTATCAGAACCTATCGATGTGGGGTCGGAAAATGTAGCTGACGAGGAGATCTAGTGGGGGATTAGAGTATCGAGCTTCTGTGAAAACTTTGGGAGCCGTAAAATAGTCACCAACTCGCCTCGCCTGGGTGCACTACTCTTGGAGAAAATACGGGATTTCTTTTCTCATTAATCCCATCGAAATCTTTCTCTTTCAGTTACGAGAAAGCAAAGGTTCACGATCGGAAAAGTTGCTAATGCGGCAGGTTTGATCAATGAATCGATTCTTGATCAATTGATCAAGAATCACAAAGCAATTGACAATTCAGATGATTTCCTTTCGGTCGATAACTTTCACGAAAAAGATTGGCTCTTGTTCATAGCTGATGTTGAGTTGACGTCTAGTTGACGGATTTCTAGCTTTTGGCTATTGTATTTTCATGATTTTATATATTTGATGATGTATTTGACTTGTATTTGCATCTCATTTTGGTGCTAAAATGTCACGGTTACATTTGAACATTTCCTTGAGAGTTGTTGCGCGATATGCGCTTGCCTGACTTCGAGAGTCGATTGCTGAACGGAAACCTCGCGATCTGGCCATATAAATAAGTAAGTTTAAAAGAAAACAAATAGAAATACATTAAAGAAAAAGAAAAAGGAAAAGAGGCTGTTATCTGTTCTTGATTTAACAGAAAATTACAGAAATTAGCTTTTCAAAGCTTTTCAAACAGAAGCAATTGCTTTTCTAAATTCTAGCCTCTGAAGCAACTTCATATAATAATATGTTAATCACATTGACAAGCTATAAAATAACATGTTTTATTTGATTTATTATGCAACTAATAAACTCGAGCATCAATTCTTATCGAAATATTGCTTGTTGTTGTCATTCTTTCCAAGGGTTTAATCATTTTTGTCGATTTTTTCACTCCTTTCGGTTTCTTTAGAAATAAAAGATTCAAAATGCTAAAACTTTGCTATTCTTTTATAAATCAATCCTTTTACCTAATACTAACTGTATACATAACCGTGATCAAAAATTCGAGCATGTTAAAGAAGAAATTTTGAGCATTTGTGCCGAAGAGTAAAATGACGATGATTTCAAGGGCACAACAGAGAACTGTGTTCGTGAAAGTTATTGAAGAAGAGGAAATCATCTGAATTGTGAATTGCTTTGTGATTCTTGATCAATTGATCAAGAATCGATTCATTTATCAAACCTGCCACATTAGCAGCTTTTCCGATCGTGAACTTTTGCTTTCTCGTAACTGAAAGAGAGATTTCGATGGGATTAAACAACGAGACTTTCCTTGAAAAAAGGAAACGGTTTTACCTTTTCCGTACCCTCCCTAATAGTAGTGCAATCCGGCGACCCGAGTTGGTGACTATTTTACGGCTTCCAAAGGCTTCCAAAGCTTCCCAGAAGCTCAACACTCAAATCCCCCACTAGATCTCATCGTCAGCTACATTTTCCGACCTACATCAATAGGTTTTGATAAGCGGTTCTCGAGATTTCGAGGAATTTAGACGACGCTTATGGTGCGCTACTATTAGAGAGAATACGGTAGATGGCGTAGATATTTAATGGACAAGGGAAGGTTCTGATATCTTGATTTAATGGACAAGGGAAGGTTGAGCCGGTCAAATGCTACGCAACCTATACCATTCGACGCAGAATTTTATGCTGATTCCAAATATACTTTCTCTAATAATAGTGCACCCAAGGGAGTCGAGTTGGTGACTATTTTACGACTTCCAAAGTTTTCCCAGAAGCTCAACACTCAAATCCCCCACTAGATCTCATCATCAGCTACATTTTCCGACCCCACATCAATAGGTTTTGATAACCGGTTCTCGAGATTTCGAGTAATTAAGGCGACTACTATTAGACAATTTAGGCGACTACTGCACTACTATTAGAGAGAATATGGTATTAACTAACTACGAAACTGCCTTTAAAGAAACTAGACTAAGCAGACTAGCTTTAATATTGATTTTAGAAAGTAGGAACTAGAGCAAGTTTGCGTCTAGGCTTGACTGAAGCCAAGCAAGATGCTAGACTTAAACTTGCTCTAGTTCCTACTTTCTAATTCCTACTAGTCTTAGTCTACCCACTTCCACCCAAAAATACTTTTACAATCTGTTAAATGCAGATCTCTTCTTTCTATATATATTTACAGGATTCTTGTTTGTTTAATAAGCTCATTTATTAATAATTCGATCACTTTTCAGAAAGCCAATCATAACTCCTCTCAAATTTAACATTTTTTTTACTTTCTCTTTTCAGTTTTTAAAACTATAAACATTTTCTAATAGTTTAACAAGATTACGAGTATAACTTTAGCTCTCAAGCTAGCCAAAAACTTAGGTAATTAAATTGAAAAGGATATAAAAATCAAAACCAAGCTTTTTTTGCTTCTTATATTAAAAAGTCATGTGCCAAAAGCTCAGCGATTACGTAAACATTTAAATTTTCATCTTTTTGCTTAAAAATATGGCTTCTGGCGGAGGTTTTCCGTTTTTTTTTTACAAGAAACAAGTGGATTGCACTATAGTCTAACCCAGGTTTGATCTGACTCAGCTTTGGCTCAGGCTCAGGCTTAGGCTCAGGCTTAGACTTAGGCTTAGGCTTAGACTTAGGCTTAGGCTCAGGCTTAGACTTAGGCTTAGGCTTAGACTTAGGCTTAGGCTCAGGCTTAGGCTCAGGCTTAGGCTCAGGCTTAGGCTCAGGCTCAGGCTTAGGCTCAGGCTTAGACTTAGGCTTAGGCTTAGACTTAGGCTTAGGCTCAGGCTTAGGCTCAGGCTTAGACTTAGGCTTAGGCTCAGGCTTAGGCTTAAGACTTTTTGATCCAGTTCATCTTAAAAAAATTTCGGGTTTTGTATAAGCCACTTTTTTTTTGCTTGTTTCTAATCTAAAAGGGATTAAGATGAGAGAATTCTTTAGGGAAAATCTTTAGAGAAAATCTTTAGAGAAAACCTCAAAGAACAACACCAATGAAACAATGAAACTCACTCTCTTCATCTTGCAATAGGTGAACAAATCAAATGAACACATCAACATCATCAATGTGTCTTTCACCGTGCTAATCACCACAATTTCCCAACCGTCTTTTCTTGTCGGAATATATTGAAATGAGCACGCCAAAAGGTATGGGATTAACATTTGAGCGAATGGAAATTTGTGTACCAAATCGAAATAGTTTCCGTTAAAGGAAATGGCAAAGTAGCGGCTAAAATTAGGCTAATAAATCGTTTAATGATTGGAATCTTTTGTAATGTAATCTTGTGTTGTCTAGGTCCTGGCCTGGCTCTGGAATAGCCTAGCTGATCTGGCATGATCCGGTTGGTAATCTTTTGTGTTGCCCAAGTCCTGGCCTAGTTCTGGAATAGCCTGGCTTGAACTGGCATGATTTGGCTGATAATCTTTCGTGTTGTCCAGATCCTAGCCTGACTCTGGAATAGCCTGGCTTGACCTGGCATTTCCTATGATCTTTTGTGTTGTTCAGGTCTTGGCTTGACTCTGGAATAGCCTGTCTTGACCTGGCATTTCCTATGATCCGGTTGGTAATCCTTTTTGTGTTCTTACTTTAAAAACTTTCATTACATTCAACTTTTCTCCGTTTCAATCCAGAAAAACTCATTTTGTACACTTTTCAGAAAAGCAATTGCTTTATTGATAGCTTTATTGGCAATCAGTTTACTAAAACTGATTGCCAATGTTAACAATAATAAGCAGAATGTCTAAATATTCTATAATAATCAAAAATCTGAAGTGATCAAGCTTATTTAGTTTATTTAAAGTTTATTTAAAGTTTATTTAAGTGTATACTCATGTATAAGAAAATAGAGAAAATTTGAGTCAAAGTTGACCTTCCAAATTCCGTTATTAGTCTCGGAGTTTGGGAACTTCTCTATTTTACTCTATAACTCGACTTTCAGTTGTCAGATCGACTTGAGATTGGTTTTAAAATGATCCTCATTAAATTTGGCTATAGAAAACCGCAATTTACTTAGTACACTCTAGTGTAAGAACATAGAGAAAATTTGAGTCAAAGTTGACCTTCCAAATTCCACTCTCGGAGTTTGGGAACTTCTCTATTTTACTCTATAACTCGACTTCCAGTTATCAAATCGACTTGAGATTGGTTTTAAAATGACCATAAATTTGGTTAAGAAAACCGCAATTTACTTAGTACACTCTAGTGTAAGAACATAGAAAATTTGAGTCAAAGTTGACCTTCCAAATTCCACTCTCGGAGTTTGGGAACTTCTCTATTTGTAAACTCGACTTTCAGTTGTCAGATCGACTTGAGATTGGTTTTAAAATGATCCTCATTAAATTTGGTATTTAGTTTACAAAATAGAAAACACAAAGTCTATAGAATCTTATTGTCAATCTGCTTATTTCCTTACTTGAACGAGATCATAAATTGGCAGAAAAGAGCCGCGAGAAAGAAAACATCACAGGATGTACCCAAAAATTCGATTGTCTCTATCATCCAGTCTGTGCATCTAAACGAGGATTCTTATTTTTTTTAGAATTTATTGAGCTTACCCTAGGAAACCGGCTCGACAAAAGATGTCACTCATCGATGTGAATGCAGCAATAGCTCGACTCACGTTTTCTTCCATGATAAACAATCTGAATCTTAGAATTATCTCAGAACAATCTCAGAACTACAAGAAAAAACGTTCTTGGATTCAAAAGAAAGCCAGTTAAGGCTTTAAATAAGATTACCTGATCACTAGAGATAAATGCTTATTCTTCACTGCAAAAAAGACAATCAACGGAGTGCAGAGAATAACAAAAATGTAAGCCTAAAAAGATTTCTAGAGGCTTCTAGAGGCTTCTAGAGATTTCTAGAGGCTTCTAGAGGCTTCTAGAGATTTCTAGAGGCTTCTAGAGGCTTCTAGAGGTTTCTAGAGGCTTCTAGAGGTTTCTAGAGATTTCTAGAGATTTCTAGAGATTTCTAGAGATTTCTAGAGGCTTTTAGAGGTTTCTAGAGGTTTCTAGATAGTTATAGAGGTTTCTAGATAGTTCTAGAGATTTCTAGATAGTTCTAGAGATTTCTAGAGATTTCTAGAGGTTTCTAGAGGCTTCTAGAGATTTCTAGAGCTTTCTAGAGGTTTCTAGATATTTTCAAAATTCTATCGATAGCTCAAGATTACGGCTAGCATCACATACGATAACTGTTAGAATTTTGACATAAGTTTGCGATCGTTCCAAGAATCGATCAGTGAAATCGGCTTTTCCATCATTGGGCATTTCAGAGACTTGACTCCAAAGAACTTGATTCAAAAAGTAGGCTCCAACTAAAGATTTTTTAAATTGTAAGAAAGCTTAGAATACTTTTTCATATTTCAAAATACTTTTTAATAGTAGACATTTCTAGATTCTAGACTTTTCTAGGTCTAGACTTTTCTAGATCTAGACGATTTCTAGATTCTAGACTAGCTGCGCGAGACTAGATTTTTCCCCAGGAGAAATTAAAGCGCGAGCGCAGCTAGTGGTCTAGAATCTAGCAATCGTCTAGATTTAGAATCTAGCAATCGTCTAGATCTAGAATCTAGCAATCGTCTAGATCTAGAAAAGTCTAGAATCAGCTGAATCTAGAAATTTTTGTGGGAATCTTTGAGAAATTTGAAAAATCGAATTCCTCGAGCACAACATACGGATTCTAGTCTGCAAAATGATCAAAAAAGAGTGAAAAATACTGAAAAGACTACAACAACTTACCCGATAAAGCCAGGGTGACTATCGGCACTTCTAGCGCTTCACGATATTTATATTGTCTCGAATTTGAAATCCGTATCATATCCTTTAAGTAATCGTTGAAAATGATTTGTGCTTTAAAAATTGGAATTCTTATTCTTATTCTTATTGTGCCTGTTTGCTTATTCGAATAGAGATTATTCAATTGTGTCGGCGCAAATTCGATTATTGAAACGGATAGTTCTTTAAAAGATAAAAGAAAGACAAATTTATTTCATTTACAAAAGAAAAAAAGATATTGAATCTCAAAAACTTCAAAATATAACTGATAAGATTACTGTAGTTTGTATTTTTCTTTTTCTTTTTAAAGTCATTCATTTTGACATCACAAATTCTTTAGTCAACATGGTTAAATGCAAAATAAATCTTATGCATTCCTTCTTTTCTTTCTTCGCCAAGCTTTTCCATTGCTTCAACGACTTCGGTGAAGCATTTGGCTCGATCGGCGATGTACTAAAGATTTGAAAAGTTTGATAACTGTTCCTCATGACCGACTAGCCAACTAAACAATACTCCGGATGTTCATGACACCATGGCCAACTGGCCAAAAGTCCTGTATCTTAGTCGGTTTGAATTCCGTCAAGGGCTCAATCCCGTCCAGGGCTCAATCCCGTCATGGGCTCAATCCCGTCAAAGGCCCAATCCCGTCATCAAGGCCCAATCTCGTCATTGGCTCAATCCCGTCCAGGGCTCAATCCCGTCATAGGCCCAATCCCGTCCAGGGCTCAATCCCGTCAAAGGCCCAATCCCGTCATTGGCTCAATCTTGTCATGGGCCCAATCCCGTCATGGGCTCAATCCCGTCATGGGCCCAATCCCGTCATGAAGGCCCAATCCCGTCCAGGGCTCAATCCCGTCATTGGCCCAAACCCGTCATGGGCTCCATCCCATCAAAGGCCCAATCCCGTCATGGGCTCCATCCCGTCCAGGCCCAATCCCGTCCAGGGCTCAATCCCGTCCAGGGCTCAATCCCGTCATAGGCCCAATCCCGTCCAGGGCTCAATCCCGTCAAAGGCCCAATCCCGTCATTGGCTCAATCTCGTCATGGGCCCAATCCCGTCATGGGCTCAATCCCGTCATGGGCCCAATCCCGTCATGGGCTCCATCCCGTCCAGGCCCAATCCCGTCCAGGGCTCAATCCCGTCAAAGGCTCAATCTCGTCATGGGCTCAATCCCGTCAAGGCCGCTTCAACTAGCTGTTTCAACTGGATCAAGCTGTTTCAACTGGATATCAGGGTCAAGGCTGTTTCAACTGGATCAAGATTGTCAGATCTGATATCAGGCCAGATATTCCAATGGGTTTAAGGCTTGCAGCCAAAGCCGGGTTAAAGCTTGGTTACTGATTGCTACCTTTTATTGAACACTCCTTAGTCAGTCCAGTCGAATCAGGACTGACTTCTGATTTAAGCTGACCCGGAGAATCAGTTTTAAAACTTCCCTGCCTTGTTTCACGAAACCTACATCAATCTGGGTGAAAAGCGCCAAAAATGACAATCCTCGATGAGCCGGACTGCATGCTCTCGCTAATTCTTGTGTCACACAGCTCAATGAATCGGCGGTGAATCGAAAATTGGTTGATTTTATTTTAAAACTTGAATTTTCACTAACTTGCACAAATCATTCGACTTTTCCGTGATCTCGTTGCAAATTTTGTGAATGTTTTCAATTGTCTCTTGATTTCCATTAAAAGAGCATTTAAATACTTGATTTACTAAAAGTTTTGAGTTTTAAATGTTCATTTTTCGGGAGTGGGACAAATGCGACCTTTTTTCTGCGCACCCAGGCATTTGCGCACCCAGGCATTTGCGCACCCAGGCATTTGCGCACCCAGGCATTTGCGCACCCAGGCATTTGCGCACCCAGGCATTTGCGCACCCAGGCATTTGCGCACCAAGGCATTTGCGCACCAAGGCATTTGCGCACTCAGGCATTTGCGCACCCAGGCATTTGCGCACCCAGGCATTTGCGCACCCAGGCATTTGCGCACCCAGGCATTTGCGCACCTTTTTTTCCGCACTTAGCCCATTAGCGCACCTTTTTTCGCGCCTTAAAAAACTCTAAAAAGCTAAAAAAGCTCTAAAAGCTAATATTAACCAATTTCTATTCCAAAAGTTGTTTTTCTAGGTAATTTGAGGGCGTAGAATCGAAATTTCGGCATATCAGAGCGGGTGGAACCAATTTGAAAGACAAAACGATGACTAGACCAAGACTAGGTCAAATTACAGAAAATTGTTGATTTTTCTCTTTGTATATTCCGTCCGTTCGCTTCCACAAGCTCTGATATGCCAAAATTTCGATTCTACGCCCTAAAATTACCGGATCGACGCCTGGATCGATGCCTGGATTGACGCCTGGATTGACGCCTGGATCGATGCCTGGATTGACGCCTGGATCGACGCCTGGATCGACGCCTGGATTGACGCCTGGATTGACGCCTGGATCGATGCCTGGATTGACGCCTGGATCGACGCCTGGATCGATGCCTGGATTGACGCCTGGATCGATGCCTGGATCGACGCCTGGATCGACGCCTGGATCGATGGATTTCTCTTTGTATAACTCCGTCCGTTCGCTTCCACAAGCTCTGATATGCCAAAATTTCGATTCTACGCCCTAAAATTACCTAGAAAAACAACTTTTGGAATAGAAATTGGTTAATATTAGCTTTTAGAGCTTTTTTAGCTTTTTGGAGCTTTTTTAAAACGCGAAAATAGGTGCGCTAATGGGCTAAGTGCGGAAAAAAAGGTGCGCAAATGTCCGGGTGCGCAAAAAAAAGCTCGCATTTGTCCCACTCCCCATTTTTCTTTACTTACTAAAATCTTTCTCCTTCTCTACGCATAAAATCTCTTTCCCGTGTTGATAAATCTTTTGAAAGCTTGAATTCGTTTCTTTTTTTGAATTCTCATCAATGATTCTAAAAGAGGAAAGTTGAAAAGAGTTTTTTTAAATGTAAACTCACTTGCACATAGTTTCCTGATCAATATTGGAAAGCTGTAATAAATAATAAATAATATTAAGTTCAATTTTTAGCCTACTACTTTCTCTTTATCTTTTTTCAATGTCAGCAATAAAGAAGTAAAGGAATTGGCAAGTTAAAGTCAATTTTCGGAGACCGGATTGAACCTTTGAACACTTTGTTTTCACAAAAAGTGTTCAAAGGTTCAATTATTCGGAATAAATATCTAATAATCATTGCCCCATCGGTACCCTCTCACGCACTGCACAAGGCCTATTTAAAGCTAAACTTAAAATTGAAACTCTTCAAACAAAAAACTTTAAACTCGATTTTATTGCTGAAACTGAAACTCTGGCATATTGTAGTGAGATTTTAGTATCCCTAACAAACTGGAAACTGGAATAGACTCATTTAGATTCAGAACTGAGATTTAGATTTATTTAGAACAAACTGGAATAGACTTATTTAGATCACTTTTTAGCCTATTACTTTCTCTTTATCTTTTTTCAATATCAGTAATAAAGAAGTAAAGGAATTGGAAAGATAAAGTCAATTTTCGGAGACGGGATTGAACCTTTGGACACTTTGTTTTCACAAAGAAATCCTCTAACCATTGAGCTATTTGGTACCTTAACTTGTCAAGAGAAAGAAGGAGCTGGATGGCCATTGATCAAACGTAATGAATTCTGGGAAGTTCTGTCGGCACGGTCTTGGACAAAACGAACCTTATGGGCAAGATATGTTGATCCGGAGCCTAAGCCTAAGCCTAATAGATTTCTTACAGAAAGCACCAAGTTGGGTGATCAAAAAAAGGTGATTTAGGAGAACCCAAAGATGTGATTTAGTCACTTTCGTTCACAGAAATCTATCTTGATGTCAATAGATAAAAGATAAAGCATAAAAAGTTAGATATATAGCGAAATTTTCAGAACAATCTATTCAACCGACTTTTTTTGTAGGAGTGTTTATCAGAAAACGGGTTTTTGCACTTGGAAACAGAGCTGAATTGGCTTGAAATTAGAGAAAAGTGAAGGAAAACAAGTTTGTATTTAAAGCAAACCGTAAATCAATTTAGCTAATCAGCTAATCAATGAGCTTAATCATTTCTAATCAAATCTACAAAAGAATCGTCAAGATTTGTTTACGAATTTACTGAAATTTCTGATAACTTTAATTTCACTTACAAGCTTTCCTTCAATTGGTGAAATTTCGAATTGTGAGGGTTTAGCTGTTAAATAAAGTTGAATTAAATAAAATCAAATGAAAACTTACCATTCCCTTCAATAATTAACAAAATAATCAAAAGAATTGACTCTTTCATATTCGTAAAATGAAATTTTCCAAAAATTTTCTTAAAACTTTTCAAATGTTTTGTCTTTTCTAAATAAAAACATTAAAGAATTCCTTAAAATTGTTATAAAATGCTTTTAAAATTTCAACATTCAACAATTTCTGTAATAGATTCATTTTAAAATAGATTAGTGATTGATTAGTCATTGATTAGTCATTGATTAGTGATTGATTAGTGATCCCAATGCCCGCGAAGCAACTCCATCTTAGCCACGATTTCTTCTTTGCAATCATCCGGTCCTCTGGTGATGATCTGTAACGATTAAATGTTAGATAAAGTCTAGAACTTGTTTTGAAAGCTTTTGTAATTTTGATTGAATGCAAATCTTCTTACATCAATTTCCTTGACGATAGCCAATCGATGCACTCCTTTCGCCCCACCATCACAGGTCCACGCTCCATTCTCCACAGCGCATTGGACTTCCTTGGCTTTTAGACTTTAAAAAAAGCTTTATTTAGGTTCTGACAGTCTAATAAAAAGATTTTATTTAATTAAGCTTCAATTCAAAGCCTTCAATTCAAAAGAAAAGACATGGAAAAGCTGGAATCAAGTGAAACCAAATGATGACCTTCGTTGAGAACATCAGATCTTTAGAGCTATTGCCTTTGTCCCAGTGCATGATCTATTTATCATATGGGATTGGTTAGGTAGATTGGATCGATTATCACATTGGATCGGTTAGATAGAATAGATAGATTATCACATGGGATTGGTTAGAGAGATTAGATAGATTATCACATTAGATCGGTTAGATAGATTGGATAGATTATCATATGGAATCGGTTAGATAGATTGGATAGATTATGACATGAGACCCGCTAGAGAGATTAGATAGATGGGATTGGTTGGAGGGATTAGCTAGGCTATCGCATGGGATCGGTTAGATAGATTAGATAGATTATCATATGGAATCGGTTAGATAGATTGGATAGATTATGACATGAGACCCGCTAGAGAGATTAGATAGATTAGACAGATTATTACATTAGATCGGTTAGATAGATTAGATAGATTATCACCTGGGATCGGCTAGACTGTTTAGATAACCAGCTTGAACCGATTATACCGATGTATAATGATTATTCAATTAAATTGGAGAAAGAACAAATGGAAGGGAAGATCCTCTACCAGAAGCTCGAATGTTTTTTGTTTGTTGTTCTATTTGAATTGATTCACTGTAGCTTTTATGGAGGTAATTGAATAGAATCAAAAGATCTTTAATATCTAATTGCTTAATATCTAATAAAGTACAATAGCTTTGTACTTTATCCAACATTTAGCTCTTGATTTGAAAGCTAGGTGACTCAAAATGTTGCTTCACTAGCATCAAATCAAACCTTGAGAGTTCTTGAAAGATCTAGTAAAGCTGTGATTCTCTAGTAAAGATTTCAGTACTAAATTTGCATTGATAAGAATGCTCAATTGAAATCCATTTACTTTCAAAATCCATTTACAATTAAACCGTTAGTTGGTAGGAATTGTTAGATTTTTTGAGTTCAATAGTAAGCTATCATTATCGACTTACTACTAGCGCCCAGATCAAACTAGCGGCCAGATCAAACTAGCAGCCAGATCAAACTAGCAGCCAGATCAAACTAGCGGCTTACTACTAGCGGCCAGATCAAACTAGCGGCCAGATCAAACTAGCAGCCAGATCAAACTAGCGACCAGATCAAACTAGCAGCCAGATCAAACTAGCAGCCAGATCAAACTAGCGGCTTACTACTAGCGGCCAGATCAAACTAGCGGCCAGATCAAACTAGCAGTCAGATCAAACTAGCAGCCAGATCAAACTAGCAGCCAGATCAAACTAGCAGCCAGATCAAACTAGCAGCCAGATCAAACTAGCAGCCAGATCAAACTAGCGGCTTACTACTAGCGGCCAGATCAAACTAGCGGCCAGATCAAACTAGCGGCTTATTACTAGCGGCCAGATCAACCTTTTTCTGCCAAACCCAAATGAATAAGCAATCCATTTGAGCAGTTAAAAGCCTTTCAGCTTTACAAGACAAGACTCACTTGCAATCTTTCTCCGAATCCGAGTCCGAATCCGAGTCTGAGTCCGAATCTGTTGAATCTGATTCCGCCTTCTCGCAATGACGAATAATGCTAGCAACTTTGTTTTCGTAGCAAGTGAGGAGATCATCGACTAGAATCAAATCAAATTCAAATTCAAATTCAAATCATTCATCAAATCTTCCTTCTCATCTTCAAATCTATCAAATCAAATCTTCAAATCCCTTTCTTTTTCTCACCATCATCCCGATCCTCTTCTTGACAATAGAGCTCTTTTGCCTCATCGTAAATCTTCATAAATTCAACATTTTCCTCTTTAGCCAGCTTCTCAAATCTTCTGTAAATGGAAATTTTCTTTATTTTCTTTATTTTATTTCAAAAGATTGTCTTAACTTGTAGCATTTGTAACTATAAATATAGAGTAACTATAAAAGTTTTTAACTCACTGACAAATCGCGTCTTGGTAAGTTTTCTCATTGTCGGGGATGGATTGACGGGCGACTAAACAATTTATATGAAAGTTACTGATTTGAAAATCTTAAGAATACTGTAAAGCGATCTATAGATCTATAGAATCTATAGAAAGCGTACTATAAAGGTGCTATAGAAACTAGCTCGATTCTATTGGGTTGGTGAATTGAAAACTGCCGGCTATTGTCATAAGTGACAGTTTGAGCACTTTCTTCAAAAGAAACCCATTTTGGTGTCACTGGAAAAGTTGTAGAGAATCAAAAATTAGGCTTATATCCAAATTTCCAAAAAGATGCACTTAGTAGTTCCCCTTAAAATTTGTGTGTTCTGTGTGTTCTTTGTGCGGCCGCCTAATCGCTCGTCGTCTGGCGCAGGGCTTTTACATAACCCCCTTCGCTCTCTATTTTGTCTATCTCCTCTGCCCGTTTCCGAATCTTCAAATTCGACATTGACTTCTCCTCAAATCAAGGCTAATCTCAATCTATTGGTTGGTGAATCGAAAAACCGCCGGCTATTGTCATATGTCACAGTTTGAGCACTTTCTTCAAAAGAAACCCATTTTGGTGTCAATGGAGAAGTTGTAGAGAATCAAAAATTAAGCTTATATCGATTCAAAAACTGGTTTTCAAGAAATGCTAAATTTACACAAAAGAAATGCCAAATTGTCACAAAACTTGCATTTTAAGCGAAACTACTAAGTGTATCTTTTTGGAAATTTGGCTATGAGCCTCATTTTTGATTCTCTACAACTTTTCCATTGACACCAAAATGGGTTTATTTTGAAGAAAGTGCTCAAACTGGGCTGACAGCTGACATCTCCAGTCCTCCATTTTTGAGTCTCACACTTGTCTCACACACAAACCAAAATCCGACTACGAAAGAGGAATCCGCAAAATGCCTGTAAAATGGGCAGAAATCGTCAATGATAATGGAAATAATTTGGAATGAATTGATGATTTTATGTTGAACAAATTTTAGTTCAAAGTCCCGCAGTTTTCAATTCACTAACCCAATAGCTAGAACAAAGCTAAAAACCAGGCTCAATTTTTAGCTTAGCTTGTAGCTGATTGTCAGGCAGAGCAACTAAAACTAAACCGATGCAAGACTGACTATTGGCTGGATTAGGAACTTTTTATAAAACAATCTGAAAACTAGATCAAGTTAACTAGTTCAGAAAATCAGTTTTAAAACATTTCTTTCTATTACAGGCATAAGATTTATAGTTTACAGAGTTTAAAAATGAAAACTTTTCATGGTCTTAGTTGAAGTTAACTTGAACCTTTAGCTTGAATAGTTTATAAGCTTGAACAGTTTATAAGCTTGAACAGGTCCTCTATCCTTACCACAAATTCCAGCTAAGAGAAAGATTTGGATGAAGAATTTCATGATCAGAAAAATGAATGATCTTTGCGTTTTCTCGTTTCATTTTCGGATCGTTTTGTCTAGAGCAAGCGAATGACGAGAAGGAAATCGAATGAAAATTTCTTTTTTAAACAAACATTTTTGCAAATTGGGCTAAATTTTTTCAATTCTTTTATGAGTATTCTTTTAAGAAACATTTCAGCAAAATTTGACTTAAAGTCCATGGTGTTTCTTTAAAAAGTCATGATTTCTTTCTCGTTTTTGATGATGATCGTTCGCAACGGTGATCGTTCACATTGGCGATCGTTTACAATGGTAATCGTTCACAATGATGATCGTCTACAACGGTGATCGTCTACAACGGTGATCGTCTATAACGGTGATCGTCTACAACGGTGATCGTCTACAACGGTGATCGTTCACATTGGTGATCGTTCACAACGGTGATCGTTCACATTGGCGATCGTTTACAATGGTAATCGTTCACAATGATGATCGTCTACAACGGTGATCGTCCACAACGGTGATCGTCTATAACGGTGATCGTCTACAACGGTGATCATTCACATTGGTGATCGTTCACAACGGTGATCGTTCACAATGCAAGAAAGAAATTGTGGTCTTGTTCACAAACGTTCACAATGTTCACAATGACCTGAAATAATGAAATGAAGCAAATTTTAAACTTTTCTTAACAGTTGTCTTTACTGCTAATAAATCGCACCTGAATCTCAGTGTACATTGTTAAACGAATTCTTCCTATATCATCACCGTCAAATTCGTCCAAGCAACACATTCAACCCCAAAGGAGCAAAGGCTTAATTTGTTTAATAAAGAAGTGAAAGAATTGGAAAGAAAAAGAGGGGATTGAACCCTTGACCTTTTGCTTTCAGGACAATTGCTCTAACCACTAAGCTATCCGGTACCTTAACTTACCAAGAGAAAGAAGGAAAGACGAGGGGAAGAAGAAAGAAAGAAGAAAGGAGGAAGAAAGCAAGAAGAAAGCAAGAAGGAAGAAAGAAGAAAGCAAGAAGAATGTTTTTCTTTGCTTTCATTCTCCTATCACTATTTATACATGTACACATTTGAGTTTTTCGTTAAAAAAGAATCAATCATCAATCAATGAATCAATCCAAAGCCAAATCGACAAAGAATTTTGAGTTATGCAAGTACAATGGTACAATGTACTTTTGATACAATGTACATTAAGTACCTTTGAGGTACAGCATTCATTTTTTAGTACTATACTTGTACCCTGTAATCCAGGTTTTGCAAGTACTATATGTTCGTGTAATGTATTCATTTTTCAAGTACTTTGATGCACTATATTTCCAAGATTACAGTAGAAAGAGAAAAGGTACTTGCTTTCAAAAACAGATTAGTCAAAAAGACTAATTTTATAGGTTTTTTTGTTTATTGTATTCTCTAGATTGTATTCTTTAGATCCTTTTCTCTTCTAATCTAAGAGAATCTAGAGAATACAATATATAATTATGCTTTATTCAGTTGAATAGCGACAAAACAAAATCACAATAATTACCCGGAACACCACTCAAAACACACCCAAAAGATAAATAGATACCTCAAGAAAGAATCACAGAGCAGTCAAATCAATTGCCGAAATTGCTGCTTTAAATCTAGCCAAGGTGGAAATATCACGAACATAAGGGGGTAAAATGTTTCAGAATTTAATAACTTGATTAAAAAAGAAATGGGAGCATTTAGAGGAAACAGAAGATTGGCGTATGAGAAAAGGCCTTCTGGAGGCTTCTAGAGGCTTCTGGAGTAGAGAGCCAAATTCAAAGAGATCAGAAAAAAGGGGTTCGGGATGAATGCCTTTAACCTTGTGATTATTTGTTTATTATTTATGCCCGAAATTTTTTATAAGCATTTTTTGATCGAAAATCACTCAAAAGCAAAGCGCTTTCGGTTAATTGCTGGCTAGAGACTAAGATTTAAGAATTTGAATAAGTTTTAATAGGGAAGGAGAGCAAATGAAAGAAAGTTATTCAAGAATAGGGCGGACATAAGCAGCAAAAGTTATCGGATGATATGGTGATATCTAACATCAAGACTTATCAGATAGTATGGTGATACTTGACATCTAAACTAATCGGATGGTATGGTGATACTTGAGATCTAAACTAATTGGATGGTATGGTGATACCTAACATCAAGACTAATCGGATGGTATGGTGATACTTGACATCTAAACTAATCGGATAGTATGGTGATACTTGACATCTAAACTAATCGGATAGTATGGTGATACTTGATATCTAAACTAACCGGATAGTATGGTGATACCTAACATCAAGACTTATCGGATAGTATGGTGATACTTGAGATCTAAACTAACCGGATAGTATGGTGATACCTAACATCAAGACTTATCGGATAGTATGGTGATACTTGAGATCTAAACTAATCGGATAGTATGGTGATACCTAACATCAAGACTTATCGGATGGTATAGTGATACCTAACCTCAAAACTTATCGGATGAGGATACGGTTTGCACTTACGGAGGCCTTATTACACATGGATTCAATATGAAAACGGAAACCAAGAGGCGGGCTAATAAGGACTCCAAAATCACATAGATATTCTTTTTTTTCAACCACAATAAACAAAAAAACCCTTATAAAGATTCTCTCATTTCCGTTTAAATAAACAAAAAATTTTCAAAAACTGATCAATTTTTCTTCTAAAAACTTTTAAACAATCCCAGGGTTTCCAATTTTTTTCAAATTTTTTTCTAAACTTTCGGAATCGATCGATTCTCTAACATTCACAAATAGGGAAAAAGGAAATAGTCTTTCTCCTGTCAAAATTCTTTTCCTTTTTTCACTTTTCTCTGTTGTTGACTCATCATTTATTCATTCCTGTTTTTCCTTTCGAATAACCTTTTCGAAAAGAATACATGTTGATTACATAATACATAAAAAGCTAAATTTTCATTGAATAGATTTGTTTTTCATTGTTTTTCGGTAGTGGGACAAATGCGACCTTTTTTTTGCGCACTCGGACATTTGCGCACCTTTTTTTCCGCACTTAGCCCATTAGCGCACCTATTTTCGCGTTTTAAAAAAGCTCTAAAAAGCTAAAATTTTTAGCTTTTCTAAAAGCTAATATTAACCAATTTTTATTCCAAAATTTGTTTTTCTAGGTAATTTTAGGGCGTAGAATCGAAATTTTGGCGTATCAGAGCTTGTGGAAGCGAACGGACGGAGTTATACAAAGAGAAATCCATCGATCCAGGCGTCAATCCAGGCGTCGATCCAGGCGTCGATCCAGGCGTCGATCCAGGCGTCGATCCAGGCGTCGATCCAGGCGTCAATCCAGGCGTCGATCCAGGCGTCAATCCAGGCGTCGATCCAGGCATCGATCCAGGCGTCGATCCAGGCGTCGATCCAGGCGTCGATCCAGGCGTCAATCCAGGCGTCGATCCAGGCGTCAATCCAGGCGTCGATCCAGGCGTCAATCCAGGCATCGATCCAGGCGTCGATCCAGGCGTCGATCCAGGCGTCAATCCAGGCGTCGATCCAGGCGTCAATCCAGGCGTCGATCCAGGCGTCAATCCAGGCGTCGATCCAGGCGTCGATCCAGGCGTCAATCCAGGCGTCAATCCAGGCGTCGATCCAGGCGTCAATCCAGGCGTCGATCCAGGCGTCAATCCAGGCGTCGATCCAGGCGTCGATCCAGGCGTCGATCCAGGCGTCGATCTAGGCGTCAATCCAGGCGTCGATCCAGGCGTCGATCCAGGCGTCGATCCGGTAATTTTAGGGCGTAGAATCGAAATTTTGGCATGTCAGAGCTTGTGGAAGCGAACGGACGGAGTTATACAAAGAGAAAAATCAACAGAGAGAATACAAAGAGAAAAATCAACAATTTTCTGTAATTTGACCTAGTCTTGGTCTAGTCATCGTTTTGTCTTTCAAATTGGTTCCACACGCTCTGTCATGTCAAAATTTGAATTCGACATCCTCAAATAGTCTTTCTCATGTCAAAATTCTTTTCCTTTTTTCATTTTTGTATGTTGTTGACTCATCATTTATTCATTTCTGTTTTTCCTTTCGAATAACCTTTTCGAAATGAATACATGTTGATTACATAATACATAAAAAGCTAAATTTTCCTTGAATAGATTTGTTTTTCATTGAATTTCATTAAATTTCTTTCATTTTCATTGAATAGATTTGTTTCTAATCCTTTTTAATTAAACTTTTCACATATTTTCATCAATTTAGAGAATAGATTTCATTATTGTTTGAGAATTTTTGTTTAATTTATTTGCAATTGGGAAATCTTGCAATTTTGGAATCTTTTTGTTACACTGAACTCTTCTTTTTACTTTATAAATAATGATTTTAATGATACGATTTAATTCCTTTAATAATAAATGCAGTACACTAGAAAGGATGTGTTTCCAATTCAAAGTAAAGCTTGGTTCGACTAGGATTACAGTAAATAAGTCAACAAATCATATAAACACAGTAAGCTGAGTTCTTCACTTCTTAACTTTATTCAAGCCTAGGAATTCATCTCGTAAACGCACGCGATTTGGCACACCACTGGAAACTGTAAAGGAATGAAAGCATTGATGAATTGCTCTAGTTAACCGAATTTTGAATCCTGTCAGCTCCGAGCCAAACCGATATTTGAGTTACTATTATTATTGAATGATTTGTCTAATCTTATGTAAATGTGTTCTCCTTGCTTATCCTTTTCCTAGAGAAGGGGCGGTCCTTGGATTTGCCTAGGAGGACAAGTGAGGCTCTCACTTGTCCACTGGAAACTTGTCAATTGTCCCCCTTTCCCTTTCACTCCTTTGTAATCTATTCGTCTTATTGTACTACTGTAAATAAAGATACATATCTTCCGGATCTATGCAACTGCATTTCAGGCCGGTCATTTCCAGGAACTCCCCCTGTGCTTATCCCTTTCCTCTAGAAGGGGTGGTCCTTGGGGTTGCCTAGGAGGACAAGTGGCCTCACTTGGAGTCCCCCCTTTCACTCATTTGTAATCTATTCGTCTTATCGTACTACTGTAAATAAAGATACATATCTTCCGGGCCAATGAAACAGTTCAGGTCAGTCATTTCCAGGGACTCCCCTCTAATCCCTTGGAGGAGTGAGGTGAAGGACTCAACTCAAGAAGGACAGTGAGGAGCCTAGAAGGACAGTGAGGAGCCTAGAAGGACAGCGAGGAGCCTAGAAGGACAGCGAGGAGCCTAGAAGGACAGCGAGGAGCCTAGAAGGACAGTGAGGAGCCTAGAAGGACAGCGAGGAGCCTAGAAGGACACTGAGGAGCCTAAGAGGACAGTGAGGAGCCTAGAAGGATAGTGAGGAGCCTAGGAGGACAAGCGAGACTCTCATTTGGAGTCCCCCTTCCCCTTACACTCATTTGTAATCTATTCGTCTTATCGTACTACTGTAAATAAAGATACATATCTTCCGGGTCTATGCAACTGCAGTACAGGTCGGCCATTTCACAGGGACTCCCCTCTAATACCTTGGAGGAGTTGAGTTGGGTTGTCAGGGTATTAGAGATGGCAGGATGTTAAAAGGAATCTACTCTCTTTAACTTAACCCAAATTCTAGTCCATATCCGTTTATACCTACCGTAAATACTGTAATAGTACCCCACCGCCCTCGTACAGTCGCGTAGTCGCAAAAGTTTTTTAGTATTTTTCAAAGCGTCTGTGCTTTGAAAAAATTCGTCTTTTATATCAAAAAAATAGCCCTAAATCTCAGCTATTTTTTGATACCTAAACGAGCATTCTAGCATAAACCAGTGTCGAGAAAAACGCGTTCAAAGCTAGACTACGCAACGCTCCGCACCGTCGTTATGGGGGTGGGGTACTATTACAGTATTTACGGTAGGAACAAATAATCCTTAAACTTTTCAAGTTTCCTTTGAATTAAAATCAGCTTCCGAATCACTCAAAATCACTTAGAATTTTAAGAAACTACAAGAATAATCCCTTTTTTGCATCACTTCCTTCTTCCTAAGCAAAGAACTGAAAAAACGTTCTCATTGTTGATTGTTTGAGTGAAAGAAGATCCAAGAGTTTCCCCCTGTCTTCTGTTGACTTTACTTTTCACGAGACATTTCTTTTTTTTTCTTTTCATTTACAATGCTCAGACTGACTTTAATTGAATCTTTTTTTTTGATTTTAAACCCGTTTCTTACAGCATTTTAAAATTCCCATTTTTAGAATGATCCTTCGATTATTTTTTCTTTTAATAATCCTCTCGATTACTTTGGCTTTTCGACAACAAAGCGTCGGAATTATTGGGAAATTGACGTGTGGAAATCAAGTATTACAAGACACGGAGATCAAATTGTGGGACAAGAATTCACTGGGTATGTACTTAACTCCCACTGGAGTAAGGGGGAAATAAGTGCGTTGTGTTGGAATGGTTAGCATGGTTGCACGGTGAGCGAAAGCTCGTTGGTTCGTATATCTTTACTTAAACAATTTTCCGGTCGTGACATTCAACTAGCCGATAGCCGCTCCGATTACTCGGGACGTTTCAACATTTCTGGTCATTCAACCTCAGTCTTGAAGATGGATGTTCATTTTAAAGTGTATCACAATTGCGAGAATCCATTCGGAGTGAGTTGTCCGTGGTTGGCCCGAGTGTTGGCTGATCCGTGGAGGGCGGTGGGTGGCTGGGAATGAGAATCAGCTTGGCATGGCTGTTTGAAGATTGAAGCACGAAGAAAGCTCCTTATTTCATCACTTTGCCTAGGCTATCGCACATCTGATAAGCCCCGCCCCTTTTTTTCGTCACCAATCTAACTTTAAGCTCAAATTTCTCGGTGTTGGACTGTCCAATTTAGGTATTTTTGGTCTCATTGGATTCGCCAAGTCTTTCTCTATCGATTGGTAGAAAAACTATTTCAATTGAACAGCCCAACACCGAGAAATTTGAGCTTAAAGTTAGATTGCCAATAGCAAAGGAGCGGGTGCGTATAAAAGGTCTTTCTGGCCCCGCCCCTTTTGCCAATCCAACTTTAAACGCAAAGATCTTGGTGTTGAACTGTTCAATTTAAATAGTTTTTGTACCAATCGGGCCAGAAAGCTCTTTTATACGTGCCCCGCCCCTTTGCCATTGGCAATCTAACTTTGAGCTCGAATTTCTCGGTGTTGGACTGTTCAATTTAAATAGTTTTTGTACCAATCGATAGAAAAAGACTTGGCGAATCCAATGATATCAAGAATATTGCAATTGAACACCCCAACACAAAGAAATTTGAGCTTAAACTTGGATTGCTGATTGAAAAGGGGCGGGGCGCGTCTCAAATGTCCCACAATCTTTTTCTGAACTTTCTCAACCAGAATTTAAGAAATTTTACAGCAAATTTCAGCTTTGCAAACGAAAAGTTGATCTTGAAGTCCCGGCTTCATACGTGACTCGATCGTCGACCGTTGAGAAATGGTTTGACGCTGGTGTGCTGAATATGGCATTCAAATATCCCGATGAGTCGACCGAATGTCTTTAAAAAAGAAGCTTAAAGAAGAATAACAAGAAAAGAAAAGAAACGGGTTTCTTTTTGCAATAAAAGTTTTGATTTAACCCATTCGAAACCGCAAGGTTTTTGCTTTTTTTTCGTCTGCGGACCAAGCCTTTTTTTTTTTACATTTTTGACTTCGAAGCAGTTTATCCAGATGGTTGGAAAGGTTTAAGAGAGTCTCCTACACCATTTATTTTTGATGAAGAACGATTTGGATTTGACTAGTACTTTTCAAGATCCTATCGATTATTATTCTTATTTTATCGACGACAAATTAATCAAAATGTTAGTCGGCGAATCTAATAAACATGGAAAAAGGAAAACAAAGTGGCAGGATTTCGATGCAAAATCTTTCAATCTTTCAAGCGATCTTTCAAGCTCTTCTTGGCTCTGTATCTTCAAACCATAGGTTATGGATGAGGAATTGAACGCTTCTTTCAATAATTTATTTATTGACAGTGATTTGGAGTCTATTGATGGATCAGATCATCGACTAATTCAATCAGAAGTATTGTCATCAAGTTCAAGCGAATCCGAGAAAGAGGATGACGATGTGTCCGAAGCAGTTTATCCAGATGGTTGAAAAGATTTAAGAGAGTCTCCTAGACCACTTTTTTTGATGAAGAACGCTTGGATTTGACTTTGCTTTTCAGTACTTTTCAAAATCCTATTGATTACTATTCTTATTTTATCGACGACAAATTAATCAAAATCTTAGTAGGCGAATCTAATAAACATGGAAAAAGGAAAACAAACTGGCAGGATTTCGATGCAAAATCTTTCAAGCTCTTCTTGGCTCTGTATCTTCAAATGGGAATCGTCAAATTACCGAGGATTCGTTACTAGACGAATATTGACGAAAAAAAAGCTTTAAAAGGCTATTAAAGGCTCTTTCCTACTGGAGTAGCAGGCCTGGAGGATTTTCCCACATGTCCCACATTATGTCAAGAGCAAAATCTATTCTTCGAAACCTGGGTTTTTGTGATAATGAACTGGATCCTGCAGGAGATCTGCTTTATAAGTTTAGAGCTATTATGGAACTTTTCAATGCAAAACCAGAGGCTGCATTGATTCCGGGTAAATATAGCACGTCTTTTTTTGCCCACGTAATTTGTAGATCTATTACAATTGGAATATACATGTAATGCTGAAAAACAGCAAAAAAAACCAATTAATGAATGAAAATAGCTCAATTAGCGCTGCAGCCGTCCGTTCCGCTGCAGCGGTCCGTTCCTGAGTAATCGCTGCACCGGTCCGTTCCTGAGTAATCGCTGCAGAGGTCCGTTCCTGAGTAATCGCTGCAGAGGTCCGTTCTTGAGTAATCGCTGCAGAGGTCCGTTCCTGAGTAATCGCTGCAGAGGTCCGTTCCTGAGCGAATAATCGCTGCAGCGGTCCGTTCTTGAGTAATCGCTGCAGCGGTCCGTTCTTGAGTAATCGCTGCAGCGGTCCGTTCTTGAGTAATCGCTGCAGCGATCCGTTCCTGAGCGAATAATCGCTGCAGCGGTCCGTTCCTGAGTTTTTGCTGCAGAAGTTTCGAATTGGTTAAAGCAAATGACTTCTTTTCGATCGATGTGTACTTTGTGCTCACTTTGTACTTTGTACTTTGTGCTTTTTAAGCACAAAACTTCTTGTGCACTTTTCCTGAAGTATTCTGTCATAGGGAAAGTGAAGAATTGAATGCACTAGGAAATTTGTGTTTAGATTAGAGGACAAAGTACGAAAAAACAGTACAAATCTTTGTCAAGAAACGGTGACATAAAAGTTCGAAGTTCGAAGCTGCTTTAAAGTGACTCCTTTAAAACTGCTTTAAAAGGCTTCTTTCTAGCAGACACACGTCGGTGGCTTAGTAGATAACGCATTAGACTTCCGCCCACAAGATCAGCGTTCGATTCCAGATCCAGTTTTTTGTTTTTGTATAACCGAACAACCTAATAGAAAACGCATTACTCTAATCAGTGTTGATTAACGAAAAATTGAATTTTAGATAAAAACTTTAGCTGAATTGTTTTAAAAGAAAAGATAGAAAGCGAGAAAGCTAGAGAGAGAGAATTAGAGGGTTTAAAGATTGATGAATAGTTCTTTTCTCACTAGGAAAACGTATGGATTCAAGGTGAGCTTTTTGCTTTTTTGTCCAGCTTGATCCAGCTTTTTTGTCCAGCTTAGTCCAGCCTTTTTGTCCAGCTTGATCCAGCCTTTTTGTCCAGCTTGATCCAGCTTTTTTGTCCAGCTTGATCCAGCTTTTTTGTCCAGCTTAATCCAGCCTTTTTGTCCAGCTTGATCCAGCTTTTTTGTCCAGCTTGATCCAGCCTTTTTGTCCAGCTTAATCCAGCCTTTTTGTCCAGCTTGATCCAGCTTTTTTGTCCAGCTTGATCCAGCTTTTTTGTCCAGCTTGATCCAGCTTTTTTGTCCAGCTTAATCCAGCCTTTTTGTCCAGCTTAATCCAGCCTTTTTGTCCAGCTTGATTCAGCTTTTTTGTCCAGCTTGATCCAGCTTTTTTGTCCAGCTTGATCCAGCCTTTTTGTCCAGCTTGATTCAGCTTTTTTGTCCAGCTTAATCCAGCCTTTTTGTGCAGCTTGATTCAGCTTTTTTGTCCAGCTTGATCCAGCTTTTTTGCCTGGACACTTTATAGAATCGGTTATGAGGAATTCGAATCTGAAATCAAAATCTGCCAAATGAATTTCCAGGCCTCAAACGAAAATTTGAAGTTTGACAAAATTTGGGAAAAAAAATGGATGCTTTAAAAGGCTAATGTATATTGCATAATGTATATTGGTGGCCTAGTGGATAACACATTAGTCTTCCGCCAATAAGATCAGGGTTTGATTCCAGATCCTTTTTGTTTTGGTTTTCTTTTGAGTCAACTTCAAGCATTTTTAGCACTATCGAAAATTTGATGTAGACGAAATTTGGCAAAAAAAACTGCTTTAAAAGGCTCTTTCTTACCGGCAGCATGTTGATGTTGATGGCCTAGTGGATAACACATTAGACTTCCGCCAATAAGATCACGGTTCTATTCCAGACTCAGCTTTTTGTTTTTGTTGGACGCGGCGGTGGACAAGTTTTGGATCTGTCTTAGTTTCAACTTTCAACTTAGTGGATAACGCATTAGACTTGCGCCAATAAGATCACGGTTCGATTCCAGATCCAGCTTTTTGTTTTTGTTTTCTTTTGAAGCAACTTCTAGCATTTTGAGCATTATTGGAAATTTGGTTTAGACGAAATTTGGCAAAAAAAACTGCTATAAAAGGCTTTAAAAGGCTCTTTCCTAGAGGAAGCACAACGTATGGTGATGGTCTAGTGGATAAAGGCTTCCATCCATTAGATTTCCATCCATAGAATCTTCGTCCCGTCCCTGATACAGCTTTTTGTTTTTGGAAAAAAGGAAATGAGAAAGTGGTTTCTTGAAAATCAATGCTTTTATCAAAACTAGTATCAAAAATGATCTGGTTTTTCTTTAAAAAACTTTCGTTTTCTCTCTGGGAAGGAAATAAAAAGAACGGAGTAAATGAAAAGTAAAAATTGATCAATTTTGAACAGCTCGAAGCTTTGATTTCGTTTTATTTTATTGATAAATTGTGATTTTGTACCGATTTTGTATTTTGTACCGTGTACTTTTTGTTTAAAAGTGAAACATAGCGTACTAATTGTACTAATTGCCTTTCTAGCGTACTAAATGTACTAATTAACTAATCCTGGCTTAGCTATTCACTTATTCTAACTACAGGTTGTCTTAAAATCATAGAGTAGAATTATAGAGCAGAAATTCGATCATTGAGCTTTTGTTATTGTTCAAGAAATGCTTATAGATACCTTAAAAATCATTTAAAAATCATTGGAAATTAAAAATATAATATTATTCTTCAAATTGGCCTCCTTTAACTTCAATACATTTTCGTAATCGTTGCGGAAAGTCAGCCATACCAATCTCGTCCCAAACTTTCTCCAAAATTCTTCTTCAAAGACTGAATTGATGTTTGAGGCTTGCACTGCAGGACTGCAGGACTGTAGAATCTTTGGACTGCAGGACTGTAAAATGAAGCTCGATCGAGCTCTGCAAGATTGGATTGCAAAGAATTTCCCTGATTGAATCCCAGTTGACATCTGCGACAAAGTAGAATGACTATCAAACTCGCCGGATGTTTTGGATTACAGCGAAGAGATTTAATCAAGTAAAATCAGTTTGCAAACTGATCAAGAACAAATATTGGATCAAATGAAACGATCAAGATTCAATTTTCCCTTTTCAAGCACAAAATACAACAGAAATTTGTGTTTTTTAGCCACTTTTGTCAAACAGAAACTTAAAACTGAATGCTGGGAACGAAAATCCCACTAAAGATTATCATTTTCACGCTTTTCTTATGAATTTCTTATGAAATTTCTCGTTTTTCGCAAAAAAATCTGTAAAACTTCTCTTTCTTACAGAAAAAACCGTGAAATTGGCTTCATTTTGCAGTGTGAAAAACGTTTTTTCGAAAAAAAAACCATTTCTATTTGCAACTTCAATTTTCAGACTATGCAAATTTATTTAATATTTCTATTTTTCTTTAATTATTTATTAGCTGATTCACCAAGTCGAGTGCAATTTCAAGAAGCGAAAGATTTAACGATGTTGGTCGGCGAGAAGAAGATCATCGAATTGCAAGTGATGTAAGGATTTGGAATTATTGAATAACTTTAAGATCAACTACCATAATACGGTAGTTGAATATCCCCATTCAGTGAATATCCCGATTCTTCTCAACAAAACAAGTACAATTATGAGTTAAAACTTGGGAAAACCGAAGGCCTCTTGCATCCAGAAAAGGTAAATTTCAAGTTTAAGCAGTAAAATGGAGATTTTAGATTGATTTTTGTAGGCTTTAGATTGATTTTTGTAGATTTTAGATTCTTTTCTCTAACAGAACGACAATTTCATTGGAAATCGAGGCAATAAAACCGGTTTCACAATCAAATTTGGCCGTGATTTCGTGCAAATTTTACTCAAAACATTTTAGCGATGAAGAAAATTGTGGGAAAAGGTTGATGAAAAAGATTTGTGAAATAAAATTTGTTTGAAATTTTCATAGTCTAAACGATTCTTTTATTCGTGTATCGATTTTGAAAAGCGATTTGGTGGAGGTGCTTTGCATCGTTGTTGGATGGACATATTTCGTTCTTTGGAGTGCCTCGTTTTATCCACAAATTTGGATGAATTTGAGGAGGAAAAGGTTGAAAAGTGATGGGTTTTACAAAAATTTCTTTTCTTTTAAATCTTTAGTGTCATTGGTATGGACTTCAACTATGTTTTCTTGAACGTTGTCGCCAATGGATCGTACACGATTTTCAACTCTTTGATGTACTTTAATCGAAGGGTTCAGGTGAAAGTTTGAAACAAAACTGTAAGCAGTGTCTTATGCATTGTAAGCAGTGTCCTCTAATGCATTTTTAAAAGTTACTGTACGAGAATCCTATAGCCATCAATTACTATAGCCAACTTAAATGCAAATTGATCGCAATGCTTTTTAACTGCGCACTCCTGACTCAATGGCTCATGACTCAGTGGCCGCTGACTCAGTGGCTCATGACTCAATGGCTCATGGCTCATGGCGCTTGTCTCTTGTATCCCTTCCGACCCGGGTTCAATCCCCGCGAGTATCAACAACTTTGCTTTTTGAAGCTTACTAGGGAACGGTCAGATTTCGCAAGCGCGAATCCCAAAGCCAAAGCTATATGCCGCGGTCTGACTCGCTGACTCTGACGTCTGACTCTGACGCAAGTCGGACACGGGCAACGTGTCCACGGACACGGGCAACGTGTCCACGGACACGGGCAACGTGTCCACGGACACGGGCAACGTTTTTACTTCTTGTCCAAATGCGCTAGATTTCTTTAAAAACTTTGGAATTTGAACTCTTAGTGCATTAAGCGACTTATGCGTTTGTAAGGGCTACCGTCGCTCACCAAAAAAGTCGCTCGTTGATGCAGTGGTGGTGCCGCTGTCTTCGAGTTCGATCCACCTTGGATCTATTTTTACTTTTGCTTATTTATTTCAAGGTTTTGAACAGTTTTGAATAGCTTTAGCTTTGATTACATTCTTTCGCAAAGCACTATTCTGAAGAAAAAACTAAAAAGGAAAGGAAATTCTGTTTGATTGGTAATCGTAGAAATATTTACCCCAAAAACCCGTAAGTTAACACTGGCTATTGCTCAAGCTGTCATTTTCTTTTTTTGGTCTTACAAACTTGCAAACTTATCTTTGAAGCCCCTAGATTTACTGTTAAATTGCGAAATGCGAAGACTTGACAATTCTTTTAGCGTAACAATGCAAAGCTCGTGTTTCACAGTGTTTCAGTGTTTCAGTGTTTCATCATTTCTTTAGACTGAATACCTCATGGATCAACCATACGCCCCATTGCCCGTCTTGTTCAATGATGTCGTTTTCGCCGGGCACGCTTTGATCTTTTCTCTTGTCTATTCACTACAGGCTATAATCTACGAAGTATGAATTGATATGAAACAATGATTAGTTACTGAAAAAGCTTATGAAAAACATAAGTCGTTCCAAATGCCGCAGAAAGACTGAAAACAAAATTCAGCGTGGTTCTCAACGTCTCCATCCGTTTCTCTGGATTGGCGGAGTCGTTTTCATCTTTGCTTCAGGTAATATGAATTTGATAATGATATTTGCTTAATAATTATAATGATATTGATAATAATATTAACTAAATATGAAATTTGTTTACAAACATTTGCGTTGCTTATGATATTTGCTTGTTGCTTGCTTGCAAGCGCAGGCTTAGGCTCAGGCTCAGGCTTAGGCTCAGGCTTAGACTCAGGCTTAGGCTTAGGCTCAGGCTTAGGCTCAGGCTTAGGCTTAGGCTCAGGCTTAGACTCAGGCTTAGGTTTAGGCCTAGGCTCAGGCTTAGGCTCAGGCTCAGGCTCAGGCTCAGGCTTAGGCTCAGGCTTAGGCTTAGGCTCAGGCTCAGGCTCAGGCTTAGGCTCAGGCTCAGGATACCCAGGCTGAGGCCCAGAATGCCCAGGCTGAGGCTCCGGATGCTCAGGCTGAGGCTCAGGATGCTTAGACTGAGGCTCAGGATGCTCAGACTGAGGCTCAGGATCCTCAGGCTGAGGCTCAGGATGCCCAGGCTGAGGCTCAGGATGCTCAGGCTCAGGCTCAGGCTAGGATGCTCAGGCTGATGCCCAGGCTGAGGCTCAGGATGCTCAGGCTCAGGCTCAGGCTAGGATGCTCAGGCTGAGGCTCAGGATGCCCAGGCTGAGGCTCAGGAGGCTCAGGCTCAGGCTCAGGCTAGGATGCTCAGGCTGAGGCTCAGGAGGCTCAGACTCGCTTGCATGCTAGCTTGATACTTGCAAGATTTGTTGAATGATATCATTTTGACACAAAATCAACATGAAACCACTAAATTTTGCACATTCTCACCAAATTTGTCACCAAATGAAGTCAAAATCTGTTTCCACCTCTTTCCAGTAAGCCTTTTCGGTCTCTGTATGGTTAATTTGATCTCCCTTCTTCAACTCGCGAACCTCTTCTCTTACGTGAAAATCGTTTGCATGACGCCGATGTATTTACCACAAGTTTTCATTGAGAAACTACTAAAAATAAACAAATTTTCAGCTCTATTTAAACTATACTCGAAAAAGTACTTCTGGTTTTGCTATTGAGACGATTATGCTTGATTTTTCGGGCGGAGTTCTTTCATTGATGCAAATGGTTTGTTCAAGATAGTCTAATCTGAAAGTTTAGATGGACTTGGATCTCTGGACTGGACTGGACATCACTTTTCTATCATTTCTAGCATTTCTAGCATTTCTAGCATCAATTTCAGGTTTTTCAAGCGTGGAATCTTGATGATTGGTCTGGTTTTGTCGGAAATCCGGTGAAATTCGGACTAGCTTTGCTCACAATGATCTTGGATTTGGGATTTTTTATTCAACACTTTTGTCTCTATCAAAATCGAAGAGAAGAAACGATGAAAGTCTAAAGATTTAAAGGAAAAGATTCACTATTTTTGTATCATCTTTGATCAACTTCTTGTTTAACAAAAAGCTATTGTTCTGCTATAAATGTAGATCTAAGCTTTCGCTATCATTCCTGACTTCAGCATCTTTTCATCAATGCCTTTTTAGACTTTAAAGATAATAATAGTAAAAACAATTTAAACGATCTTTAAAAACTTTATCATAAAAACAATTTATCATAAAAACAAACGATTTAACAATTAAAGAAGTTACAATCAAACAAGAAACAAAAAAATAAAGCAAAAGAAGTTAGTTGGGATCGGGCTAGTTTTTTTTTTAAAGATCCCTGACATATATGTCGTAGCTGATGAAGGATTTCAGTTGATTAAGTCTCAGACTTCTTTGGCTAGCCGATTAAGTCTGGCTAGCCGATTAAGTCTGGCTAGCCGATTAAGTCTGGCTAGCCGATTAAGTCTGGCTAGCCGATTAAGTCTGGCTAGCCGATTAAGTCTGGCTAGCCGATTAAGTCTGGCTAGCCGATTAAGTCTGGCTAGCCGATTAAGTCTGGCTAGCCGATTAAGTCTGGCTAGCCGATTAAGTCTGGCTAGCCGATTAAGTCTCAAAAATGAAATCTTGAGTTATGTATTAACTCAAGTCAATACCACAAACTCAAGCTCTCTAAAAGGCGCTTAAAGGCTAAAAACGCATTCTAGTTGCAGTTGCATTTTGCAGCTTATAAATATATTGGGTTGGTGGAAAAGTCCTTTCGGATTTTTTGGGAGAGTACCTTAAATTTGTCGAATTTTGACGTTTTATAGCTCATCCGAAAGCTGAATTCAAGACGGATCGATTGGTAAAAACCGTTTTGAGATATCTCTTTTCTAAAAGTTTTTACAGCTATTTTAGTAAAGGGCGGCAGAGCCAAAACAGCCAAAAAATGGCTGTTTTCACGTTTCGTTAGTTTTCCGTGCAGAAACCTAGGCTAAAAACATGTGTTTCGTGATCAGCGTCAAAAACAACCCCTAGACACAAATTTTGAGAATCTTAGCAAAAAATTTTTGAAAAAAATATTGTCACCGGTGGAAGTCGAACCAGCGACCCTCAATAGCCGTTCGCGATTTTCTTTCTTTTTTTTTTCTTTCTTTTGTACCCTGAAAAAGCCCTCTAACAACATCAAACAATGATAAAACAAAACAAAAAACGAGAAAATCGCGAAAAGCGGCGGAAAGGCTATTGATCTGAGGGTCGAAGATTCATTTCATTGATGTCATTTTTCAAAACCTTCAAATTTCAAAGATCACAAAGCTCGACAAAGCTCTAAAAAGCTCTACAAGGCTCTACAAAGCTTTACAAAGCTCTACAAAGCTTTACAAAGCTCTACAAAGCTCTACAAAGCTCTACAAAGCTTTACAAAGCTTTACAAAGCTCTACAAAGCTCTACAAAGCTCTACAAAGCCATGTGCTCTAAAATTGATTGATCTAAAAGTGCATTCTACTCTTCAAAAAAGAGCATCGTTTGCTCATTGTGTGCCAAAGAAAAGCGCAGAGTTCAAAATGCTTTCTTCCATTGTAAACATCGTTTTTCCTTTGTTAAACATCACTAAAGATCAAGAATTTAACGATCCAACTGCAAAGAAGAGACTTTTATATTGACCTTATTCTCAAGAAATCTTTTTAATTCTATCATGATCTTTATTATTATTTTATTTTTTACTCATTTATTGGCTGAAGACGATTTTAAAGAAAGTTTTTACACAAATGAGACAAATTTGATCAACTTTGATAACAAAAGCGATGTTGACACAAAGTAAGACTTTTTTTAAAGCTGAATATCTTTTAAACAGTCAGTCTTCCCCGTAGGTTTTGAAGTGAGGTAAAGTCTAAAGCCTTTAGGTAAAGTCTAAAGCCTTTAGGTAAAGTCTAAAGCCTTTAGGTAAAGTCTAAAGCCTTTAGGTAAAGTCTAAAGCCTTTAGGTAAAGTCTAAAGCCTTTAGGTAAAGTCTAAAGCCTTTAGGTAAAGTCTAAAGCCTTTAGGTAAAGTCTAAAGCCTTTAGGTAAAGTCTAAAGCCTTTAGGTAAAGTCTAAAGCCTTTAGGTAAAGTCTAAAGCCTTTAGGTAAAGTCTAAAGCCTTTAGGTAAAGTCTAAAGCCTTTAGGTAAAGTCTAAAGCCTTTAGGTAAAGTCTAAAGCCTTTAGGTAAAGTCTAAAGCCTTTAGGTAAAGCCTTGCTGTTTAGAATTAAATAGTCTTTAAGAAGACAGGATTACGGTAGATTCACCGGTGAAAATGGATAACGTTAGTTTTTTATGGACAAGAGAAGGTTGAGGCGATCAAATGCTATGCAAACTGCAAGTCTGACTTCTGGTTTGGCCTGACTTTGCTTCAGTTTTGCCCACTGCAGTCCCTAGTGGGCAAACTGAAGCAAAACTATAGCCAAAACTGAAGTCATTAGAAGCCTGGGTCGCTTAACTTACAAGGAAAGGTCAACTGAGGCGGTCAAATGCTATCCGACCTATATCATTCGACGCAGAATTTTATGCTCATTCCAAATATATATTCCGTTTTTGCTAAATGACAATCTGCCAGGAGTTATAAGCGTCTAAAGTTTTGTTGTTGTGTCTAAGGAAAATGTGAATCTTAGCGGCCTCCTTGCGGACCGAATTCCGTGCAGCCGTGGCCGAGTGGTAAGGCATTTGTTTCCAGGGCAAGACCTCGCAAGTTCGATCTCTATTTTGGATCCTCCTTTCGCTTCTTCTTCAAGAAGTACTGACTTGTGTTCTTTGTGCATAATCGCATTCCATTTGGCACATAGATAAAGCCATAAGGTAATGTTGATCAATTGCCATCAACTTTTTTCAACGTTGAGAACTTTAATTGTTTAGTTCACTCTAATTTATAGCCGAATGACCGGGCTGGGAGTTGTGGCCAGGCTTAGGCTTAGGCTTAGGCTTCGGCTCAGGCTCAGGCTCAGGCTCCAGAAGCTCTCCAGAAGTTCTCTCAGAATTCTCGAGAAGTTCGGGTTAGCTACACAGCGTGTACAACGAACATTAGTCAGTACTCCTTGAAGAAAAAGGAAGATCCAAAGCAGGGATCGAACTTGTGATGCCTCGCTCTAGAGACGAGATCCTACCATTGAGCCAAGGCTACACGGAGTCAGGCCCGCAAGGAGGCCGCTAAGGCCGCCAGATTTTCCTAAGAAAACGCTTATAACTCCTGGCAGATTGTCATTTAGCAGAAACGGAATATATATTCGGAATCAGCATCAAATTCTGCGAATGGTCGCATAGCATTTGGTTCAGTCAGTTGACCTTTCCTTGTTAGTTTTCTAGATGTACTTGTGTTTAGGTGTACTTTTGTGTACTTGTATGTACTTTTGTGTACTTGTGTGTACTTTTGTGTACTTGTATCTACTTGTATGTACTTGTATGTACTTGTATGTACTTGTATGTACTTGTATTTAGATGCACTTTTGTTCTCTAACTTTACTCATAGCTAGGTTTCAAAGATACAAAAAAAAACAGAAACACATCCTCACGCGTTTCCCCAATTTCCTCAATTCTTCAATTTCCTTAGTGTTTCGTCTTGTTCTTTGATGTTTTTGTTGCAAATTTTGATGTTTGATGTGCACTGAAATCCTCTCCTAAAGCAATGCGCATCTTTCTTAAACCTAGAGAAACATTTTTGAAAACTGAAGTCGTTAATCGAGTCGTTAAACTACCTACCTGAAAAAGTCGATGAACTTAGATGGTCTATAACTCTTGATATAAAAGCTGAATCAGCTTATGGTTGGTTTTATTAGAATCTCCATTAAATTTGGCTATAGAAAAGTGGAATTTGTTTTGTAGACTCACCGATAAAAACATAGAGAAAATTAGTGTCAAAGTTGAACTTCCAGATAGAAGTTCGGAGGCTTTTCTATTTTGCTCTATAACTCAACTTCCAATTGTCAAATCGACTTGATATTGGTTTTAAAATGATCTCTATGAAATTTGGTTATAGAAAACCACAATTTACTTAGTACACTCTAGTGTAAAAACATAGAGGAAATTTGAGTTAAAGTTAGACTACCTACGTGAAAAAGTCGATGAACTTAGATGGTCTATAACTCTTGATATAAAAGCTGAATCAACTTATGCTTGGTTTTATTAGAATCTCCATTAAATTTGGCTATAGGAAAGTAGAATTTGTTTTGTAGACTCAGTGATAAAAACATAGAGAAAATTAGTGTCAAAGTTGAACTACTTACCCAAAAAAGTCGATCCACTTAGATGGTCTATAACTCGAGGTATAGACGCTGAATCAAGTTATGATTGATTTTATTAGAATCTTCATTAAATTTTGCTATAGAAAAGTGGAATTTGTTTTGCAGACTCACCGATAAAAACAGAGGAAATTTGAGTCAAAGTTGAAATTTGAGGACTTTTCGATTTTACTCTATAACTCGACTTTCAATTGTCAGAACGACTGTCAGATCAGACGAAATCGAACATTTCATTTTGAAATCTAAAGTCTTTCTATGAATCATTTCATTTTGAGAGACAAAACATTGATGTTTGATGGAAAAATATAAAGGACTAACGCTTGAATCTGAAAAGTGCTTGAAAAAGTTTAAAAAGAAGTCCTTTAAGTTTAGTTTTTCTTTTGAAATATCAAAGCTTTCATTTTATTCTTTTATTCTTTTCTATCATTCTTTTCTATCAAGTTTTTGGAGTTCATTGATAACTTAACGAAAATGGATAGAAAGTAAGGCTCAGTTCTTCAGAATCAGTTCAGTTCTTCAGTTCTAACTCAAGAAAGAAAGTCAAACATAGTTGAATCTACAACAGAAAAGCGTTTAATCATTTCTACTATTGAATTCCAGGAGTTTATTCTATTAATTGAGTCTAAAAGTGTCTATTAATTGAGTAAAATTGAGTCTAAAATTGATTGAATCTAAAAGTGATTGATTGCTAAAGAAAAGATATTGAATTAGTTGAATCTTAGCACTTGTCGTCTTTCTTCTCAAGTGCTTGGTGAGTGCTCCAGGCCTGGTGAGTGCTCCAGGCCTGGTGAGTGCTCCAGGCCTGGTGAGTGCTCCAGGCCTGGTGAGTGCTCCAGGCCTGGTGAGTGCTCCAGGCCTGGTGAGTGCTCCAGGCCTGGTGAGTGCTCCAGGCCTGGTGAGTGCTCCAGGCCTGGTGAGTGCTCCAGGCCTGGTGAGTGCTCCAGGCCTGGTGAGTGCTCCAAGCCTGGTGAGTGCTCCAGGCCTGGTGAGTGCTCCAGGCCTGGTGAGTGCTCCAGGCCTGGTGAGTGCTCCAGGCCTGGTGAGTGCTCCAGGCCTGGTGAGTGCTCCAGGCCTGGTGAGTGCCTGGTGTGCTTTGTGCTTAAACGTTAACGCATCTTTCTGGTGCAGTGAATTCTTTATTTTTCAAGCGAAATCGAGTCACTAGTAGGAGAAAATAGACAATTTAGGCGCGCCAGTAAGTGTGCGTTTTTCTGTGAGTGCACTTTAATGGTCGTAACTTCCAGATTCTTCCCTTAATTAGTTGAATCTAGAGAAATAAAGATAAAATCACTAAACGATCGGGATTAAAATAATGCCATAAAGATAACAGTATCCTAAACATATCATAAACACGATCAGTATTAACAGTATCATAAACATATCCATATCATAAACATAATATCTAATTTAGCTCAACCCTCATCGAAATCTCGTCTCAAAAAAGTGAATTCATCAACATTCTTTGCATCGTCGTCGGTTGGACGTATTTTATTCTTTGGAGTGCCTCTTACTATCCACAAGTTTGGATGAATTACAAGAGAAAAAGGTAGATAAACATTATTTGTATATTAATTTTGAAAATATTGGGTTAGTGAATTGAAAACTGCCGGACTTTCAACTAAAATTTATTCAACATAAAACCATCAATTCATTCCAAATAATTTCCACTATTATTGACGACTTCTGCCCATTTTACAGGCAATTTGCGGATTCCTCTTTCGTAGTAGGATTTTGGTTTTGAATCGAAAAACTTTCAAAGCCAATTTTTGACTGCTTCTTCCAAATCGAAGTGTTCTCCCGCAAGCTCATTACTCATTAGACTTCGGCAAACAAAACCAAAACCAAAACAGACCAAAACTTAATTTGCATATAAATTAACATGTAAATTTAAAATTGTAAAATGCAAATTTTTATTTAAAATGCAAATTAGCCTTTCACTTTTTCTCACTCCACAAAATCTCGCGGCCGAAAAAAGGACCAAAACACGACCTCGAAATTTCGAAACAAAAAATAGCCTATGGGATAGATTTTTGGATGCTGATTTCAAATCTGCAAACAGATTTTCGCTAGCTCCTCCCAGTCGCGAGATATTGGCGAGTTTTGGTTAGTTTTGGTTTTGGTTTTGGTTTTGTTTTCCGAAGTCTATTACTCATGATCCGGAATAAATAGTAATCAAAAGTAATCTGAAATAGTAATCGGAAAGTAATCAAAAGGGGCCAGGTCCGGATTGTATGGGGAATGCGTCAAAAGTTCCCAAACAAGGCTATTTATTTTAGAGCGAGTCAGTTTTGCAACATGAGGGGCGCGTTGTCGTGGAGCAGAACGATCTTTGACTTGAAGGGCCTCTTCTTCTTTAGGGATCCATTCACCTTTTCCAACTGCTCACTGTATTTGATTGCATTAACGGTCGTCTTGCTATCCAGCAACTCCCAGTCCTAGCTTTTTGTCAGCTTTCTGCCAACTTTTGACATAACATATGACAATAGCCCGCAGTTCTCAATTCACCAACCTAATAAATTTTATCATAAAGGTTACTGGTATTGAATTGATTGATTAATTAGCTCTAACAGTATCCATTCATAGCTCTTGATAAATGATACTCTATCTCTTTGGAAATTTGGATATAAGCTTGATTTTTGATTCTCTACAACTTTTCCATTGACACCAAAATGGGTTTCTTTTGAAGAAAATGCTCAAACTGTGACAGATGACAATAGCCGGCGGTTTTTCGATTCACCAACGCAATAGATTGAGATTAGCATTGATTTGAGGAGAAGTCAATGTCGAATTTGAAGATTTGGAAAGGGGCAGACGAGATTGGAGAGTAGAGAGCGAAGGGAGTTATGTAAAAACCCTGCGCCAGACGACGAGCGATTATGCGGCCGCATAAAGAACAAACAGAACACACAAATTTTAAGGGGAACTACTAAGTGTATCTTTTTGGAAATTTGGATATAAGCTTGATTTTTGATTCTCTACAACTTTTCCATTGACACCAAAATGGGTTTCTTTTGAAGAAAGTGCTCAAA